GATCCAAGTATGGAACTTATGGTTAATACTGGAAATCAGTTTTACAACTGGAGTATTCCATGTCAAATTGGGGGCTCGATGTATGCATGATTTACATGATGTTAGATATCGCATATGCGATAGAACAATTAAGTTGGTACGTGATGAATCCTAGCTCTCATCATTTGAAATGAAATGAGGCATGTACATGTCAAAGGCACACTGTATTAACTTATAGTGGTTTTCCATCAATTTTGGAAGGATTTGTTGATGTTAGTTGGATTTCTCATGTTAAATGTGATACTTCAACATTGAGATGGGTCCTCTTGCTCGGGAGAGGTGCCATATTTTGGGCCTCTAGAAAGAAAACTTGCATCACTAAGTTTCACTGTGGAATCAAAGTTTGTGTGGTCTTGGTTTCTCTTAGAGAAAAGACAGAATTGTTGAGAGGTTTGGTTTACGACATATATTTATGGCCTAAACCAATCTCACCTATTACTATCTTTTGTGATAGTAATGCTAATTTGGCTAAGGCATATAGTCAAGTGAAAATGGCAAGTACGTTCATGTGGGAGTAAGGCACGGTAAAATCTGTGAACTTATCATTCATAGAGTTGTGTCTAGACAATATGACCAGACTCGAGATAATTTGGTTGATCATTTGACGAAGTGGTTAACTAGTGACTTGGTGATCAAGTCTGTGAAAGGGATGGGTTAAAGTCCATATAATTTTTGGTAATGGGACACCCAATTCCCCTCTAATACAACGTTAGAGGCTGAATTCAATGTGGAAAGCTTATTATCAGAAATTGAAGCACAAAATTTGTCATCTCGAGGTATGTGCTTGTTATCTGCATGAGAGAAGAGGATGAAGTTCAAAACTTCTTAATTGAATCTTTGACAAAGTGTATTATGCGGGTACACGAATAAAAGATTCGACCTACGTAAGCATGAAGTGTAGCCGCTTCAAGAAACCCGGACTTTGGTTTCGTGTGCGCTTATGAGAAGGATTGGACACATGGCGGATAATAGTGTCAAGGCACTTAGAAGTTTTGAAAACTTAAGTGTATATTATCTTCGAATATTCATATGAGTCAATGGGTTTAATCGTTACCGACACCCTTTGTATTCGAGTATTCGTCAAGTGTAATATACTAAGGTGAAAATTAAATCGTCACGACATTTTCATATAGGCTTAAGTTTTGTTGGAAGAATGTTGTGATTTTAGTGAATTCCAAGAATACACTAAAATGGGGGAGGAATGTTGGAAATTTGGTTGAATCGGACTAACCAAGTCAAACCGGTTTTGGGTTGGACCGACCAACTGGTTTGGGATTAAACCAACCAAACCAACTAATGTGACTCAGCCAATACATGTGTCCATTTTGAAAAGGAATGTGTCCTTTTGCCAAACCATCCAACGTTTGGGTTGAATTTGAAATGGACAAAGTTATACGTCCATTGCATGGTGGCGGTTTTGCATTGGCTTTGAAATCAACAAACATGTACGTCTCTTGGCTGAATGGATGCACCTATTCAATTTTAACTATCTCCCAACCGTGAAACATTGTATCACTTCGGTTATCTTAAAAAATATTAAAGGGCTTTTAGAATTGAACCCATGCCACGTACTCCTTACTAGAAGCGGAATGTATCCACGTCAGACACACTTTCATCTCTTCCTTAATCCTTCTCTTTCTCTATTCCTTCTACGCTGTCCAAATACCCCTTCTTAACCATTTCCCAAGTCTGTCATATGCTTTCCTGCCCGTCGTTTCTACTTTCTCTCGGTTAGCGGTACTTTCCTTCCCTCCCCAAATCTGCAACATCTTCCGTCCACCATTGAGTATTTACAACTCCAGTCCAGTCGTTGGATCTTCCGATTGCATTTTGGGGCTTGAATCAGTTTCTCTCCGCTCGTGCATGGCTATTACAGAAACCGACGGAGATTTCATTCCTATCCATGCCCACCAATTTCCCCCAATTTGAAAGACACGTTTGAGTTTGCAATCCGTTGCTCTGCCTCTGACCGCTCAGAGGCGCCACTTCTGCTATCCCACAAGCAGGTAATCTTTCATTTCATGCCTGTTAATCTAGATTGTGTCGGCGATTCAGAGTTTTTGACCAATTAGAAGCCGCAATTCCTAAAGGTAAATTCTTCTTCTTGCATGAATCTTTATGTCGGGACCTTTTTTCTCCATTATTCTGGATTTCCTATACTATGTCCTTTTGCTTTCTGATTTGAAGCCAATAGAGTATTGAACTCTAACTACCCTAATGCAACATACTCGAAATTAGGAGTACAAATCGATCACGAAGCATCCTGAAAAGTTGATAGGAGTAAGCACTAAGAAGTTAAAGCAGTATTCCAACGTACTCACTCGACAAACTCTAAAGCACGGGCAAGCACAAGGTAATAATTGTTGTGTACAATTTTGTTTGGAGACCGATAATGTTGACTATAGAAACGGAAGTTTCCGATTAGATTTTGATGATGATGGTTGTGTAACTGTGATATCATTGTTGAATCGTGGGGAAATTTTGAAATCTTCACAGATAAATACATCATGTTGTTGTGAATCCATAATGAATAAATCCAATTATAATATGCTGCGAAGTGCGAAGTCATCCAAAATAGTGCAGCCATGTGAACCCAGTTTGCCAAGCCTTTGGTGTTGATTTATTTGTTGAATGTCTTTTGTCAAGTTCTACATTTGTTTTACTGTTGTCCCTGTTTTAAACATGTTGTGTTGCTTCACTGATATGATTGTTTCTTAACTCTGTTTGTCTTTGTTGTTCTTTGCTCTTATCCCAACATTCATTTCCCATATTCTTTTAATATCTCTTTTCTTATGTAGGTTTCTATGGAGGAAGGTTCTTTGATCACTTCATGGCAATTAGATCTCTCACCCAGGAATAGACGCTCCTTCATTATGCTGTTTACTATAAGCTAGATATGTACATTTGTTTCAGCAATTAAATGCCAGATATCATGCATATTTCATAGGACAATGAAATAGAGACCGAAGCCATGATCAGTATGAGCAGCTCCATACCAAATCTACACTGAGTGAGGGCTCTGACACAACATCACTGTGCTTAAGTGGGTGAAAAAGGAACCCGAACTTGCATTCGACCCACCAAACAACAATGCTATGCTACAAGCCAAGACTACAACACATTATAGCAACCGAAACAATAAGTTCCAAAGAGTGCAAGAATATTTTGGTTCTCATATTCAGATGACCCATGCAATATCATTCTTACTCATTAAGCCCAGACAATGCAACGTAAAGATCATGAACTTTTCTACACAAAAAATTACATGGAAAATAACAGTCTCTTGAACAATTTTGCCGTTGTTCAGTTCTTGCCTTTCCAGATTTGACACACACAAGCAGCCAATTATTTTGCACACCAAAGAGCTGAACAACAGCACAACAACAACAATCAACCCGGCCAAGGGCCGGGCACATATCTAGTGAAGTAGATATGGTTTCATAATCTATAAATAGATGGTATCGGTTGGTGGGAGGACACACCAAAAATTCATTCTTCTTCCTACTAAACTTCTAAGTATGCTTTAGGTACTTAAGTCTGGAACCTAAAGTGGTGATAGTTTTATCTTCGGGAGAAATTTCCTGTAACCCTAGGCTTGTTAAGGGTGGAAATATTCTTTTCGGAAAGTGAACGTTGTTCACGACTCTATCACAATCCTGGTCACCCGGTCTCGGGCTTTCGTACGTGTACCCTCGTCCCTAAAAGTCCCAACAACAACCTATTTTAACTTTGCAGCTTTGTCATCTTAATTAGCTACCAAATATTGCACCACCTTTTGTTTGTCGTAATCCTTCTCAAGTTAGACTTACGGCAGATGGCTCATATGGCATGGTACCGAGTCAGACATATGTCTAAACGTTAAAGCCAAACTCTAACAGACTACACTAAAGAGTGAGGCGTCTTACCTTAATTTGTAGCTTTGACTCTTTCATTAAACGTTAATTAAACAAGAGATGCAGGCCGGCCCCGTTTTAACGTAGTAGCTTTGCCATCTTAATTAGCTACCAAATATGGCACCTTTTGTATTTGTCGCAATCCGACTCTAGTTGGGATTACGGCAGAAACCCTTTCATAGGACCGAGTCAGAGATGCCTAAAGCTTAAGCACCAACGAAAATTACAAGGAGCTGCCGATAGTATCTTTACGTTGGGAGTTCCGTACTTCGTTATTGTCTATGCAATAGACATAGCGAACTTGCGCTTCTCGTTCACGCGTACGCTAATATTATCATAAGTTTATTAAAGTGAGCATAAATTAACTTAAATATATTCCGAATTTTTAATGGATGAATCTCAATTCTTAATTCTCTAAACTCAAATCATAAAATTCGTTTAATCTAAATGTAATAATGAACGGTTTGGATTCGTCGAAAATATATCAATGTACATCTAATGAAGGTAGGTGAACACACGCCAGCCATACGCTAGATTAGAGTTAGGTATTCAACGGAAGAACTACTATAGATGATGGCAATTTGAACCCAACCCATCGGGTATTGCTCGATCTGACCCGCAATGAGGCGGGTACTATCCGATCCGCAGTAGCTTAGGGCGGGGACACAAGTTACTAGTTCCGACATGCCTCGTCTCACTCTTGACCCATTCTATCTCTTTCTCCAATATGTATTCGTGTTTCTCTTGTTTCAATCGTAGTTTCACGCAATGAAACCTTAAATAGGTACAAGAATTCATCTTTCAATTATTTAAATTCAATTACTCATTCTATTATACTATTTTCTATTCATGAAGTATTTTTCTTTGTTTATAATAAAACAATTATATTTTGCATTTATTTTCTTCAAATAATATGTAAGAATTGGTCTCCCCACCCCAAACTAATACCACTAGTATCCAACCTGACCCTTACTGAATTGATATGGGTATCGCAATGCTCACTCCGTCGCACCCGCCCGTTTGACATCCCTACTTCTCCTTATATATAGACCTGCGCTAAGATAAGGACTTCAAACGAGAAGAAAAGAACAGTACCACAGTACAACATCCAACTCCTCCTCTAGTGTAACCACAGATCATACCCTTCGGTGAAGTTCACATAACTGCGCACGCCATGTGTAAGCCATCTCTTAGCAACAATCTCACTGTGAAACGTGGGGAGCCAGTCATGGTTTCGCCGCCTGAAGAGGAAACCATGAAGAATAAAGGCGTCTTCCCTCTTTCAAACCTCGACCAGATTGCATGTTGGGTACGTTCCATTTATGGGTTCAAGTCCGACAAGAGAGGGAATCAAACGGCCGGCCAAGTGTTCAAAAACGCCTTGAGAAAGCTGCTTGTCCACTACTATCCGTTGGCCGGTCGGCTGATCGTCGTCTCGCAGGGAAAGTTTGCCGTGAGTTGCTACGAACAAGGTGCCGTCTTCGTGGAGGCTGAGGCGGACTTTGCCATGCAAGATATTGAAGAGCTGGTGAAGACCGATCCTAGCAAGCTCATGGACTTTGTCTATGATGATGGTATTTACTCCAACGCCAAGCCTTTGCCACAATGCCCGCTTCTGGTTGCCCAGGTAATCTATTTTTAGAAATCCATCAAACATAACTTTCAACTAATTAACCTCGGTAATTGCTTGTTTGTCTTGTTTCAGAAGGGTGGATTGATATCTATATATATTTATTGTTTGACCCAAGAATGTAACCCTAGGCTAACATGATAGTAATTGGAGCTCTGATTTGGACTCAAGTGGAGAGAAAGGAGTGGTTCCATGATCTACGCTCCAATGCTCAAATTAGTACGATACAGGAATAGTGTGTAGGGAAAGTAGGGAGAGTTTAGAGGAGGAAGGGAAGGATCGTTTACTTGGAGAGGTTGAGCCTCTAGAGGCTTGAGGCCTTCTTGAGTAGGCTTGGACCCAAGGCAAGTAGCCTAGCGATGGACTTGGGTCCAAGGTAAGACGCCTAGTGGTGGACTTAGGCCCATTATATTGATGACGTGGTACTTTGGTGTATTAGGAAGATTAATCAATATCCCAATATTATTTATGTTGTCATATACTCATCCATTGATGAATCGAACGCGTTTGTTTGTAGGTGACAAAGCTCAAATGCGGAGGATTCGTTTTCGGAATGTGTATCTGTCACTGCTTGGTTGATGGTTTCACAGCAACGGAGGTGGTGAACTCGTGGGCGGAGATCGCAAGAGGGCTGTCGATCTCAGTGCTTCCTTGCATGGACAAGAGCGGTTTGCTACCGCGTAACCCACTAAAGGTTGAGTTCCCTCATCCAGAATTTACCGAGATAGAAAATAGGACATCTACCGTCGACGACTTCTCAAAAGAGAACATGGTGCGTAGGGTTTTTCATTTTAACCGCAGATCGTTGAACGAGCTAAAATCAAAGGCTATGGAAGGTGGAGTTCTCTCCAAGTGCTCCACTTTTGAATGCCTTACGACTTTCATTTGGAGAGCTCGAACCAAGGCGCTGAACATGTTTGGCGATCAAGAAACCAAGCTCATAATACCGGTGAATGTGAGGGAGAAAATGAACCCGCCATTGCCCAAAGGGTACTTGGGGAATGGAATTGCTGGGGCTTGCACGATTCGTGAAGCTAGGGACTTGAACGACGAGTACTCATTTGCAACAACGGTGAAGCTGGTTCAAGATTCGATCAAAATGATTGGAAATGCTAGTGTGAGATCTTGGATTGATTGTTATGAGACGCGTAGAAGTTTTCATCCCTTGGCTCATACTATGATTGCGACGACTTGGTCCAGGATTCCCTTTTGCACCACTGATTTTGGTTGGGGGGATGCCATTCTTATGGCGCCCATGGCGTTGCCCTATGATGAGATGGTGATATTTTTTCAGGACAATGGAAAGGAGCGATACGGAGATATGTGTGTTTATGTGGCTCTGCCGGAATCGGCTATGGTGATCTTTCAAGACCTTGTGAATGGTCTAGCTAGACATTAATTGTTGTGTAATATTTCTTTTAATCTCTGTCCAGTTCGTATTTTTTCGATTATGTATTTTGCCCCCTTTTGTGCTCCTCGACCTTGTGTACTAATTTATTAAATAACAATATCATTTGCACTAAATGAATTCTCATGTGCCAGCGGAGCCTATTTGTGTAGTACTGCTAAGGTCATCTTCATACAACCTTATCGCCACTGTAAAAGTGAAAAGTTATGATGAAATCAAGTTTTATTTCATCAAAACTACTAAACTAGAGCATCAACGAGTCCTACATCTCATTCCACCCAAACAAACAGACACAAAAAAAAAATCTAAGGAATTAGAAGCTTAAAAGTGTACATAACTCTGCTACACACAATCAGAAAATGTCACTGAAACAATAGACCCCTTATAGACACAACACTGGTAGCCTCCAAATCTCCTATCAACTCCATCTTCTGAGTTAATTCAGGGATATATAAAACTCTTCTTTCCATTTAAACGGCGACACATTTCTCTCCATGTTTCACTGAGAAACATTTTCTAGACAAGTCTCTCAATCTTGCAACTCTGAAATCCATCTACAGCCTCGATCACACCCTCCTATCAATCTCCCCTTAGCTTGTATGCCCAACTATGGGGGAAAATATCAACAAAACCAGCTACACAAACTCTCAACTGAAGAAAATATGGTATCTAGATTTTGGGCTAACCAGACATGGAAGCAACACACATCAACACCATGATTCCACTTTTGAATTGTATCCAAAGTACTTATCATGTCCAATTTGCACCAACTATGATAAAAGAGAATTAGAAAATGGCTTACAACCCAGCTTAAACCAGGAAACTTTTCCCCTCTTGGTCTTAAGCTATCCCAAACTTCACTAAGTGAATACTTGTCATTAACATGTCATGTCATAAGTTACTTTTAAGTTCTTACTAACTTCTGGTGATTATTTCTTCCATTATATTTTGAGACTAGATGTTATAAATGCATTTTCGAATACATCAACACCTTCTTCTTATTCTTCTTCTTTGTGTTAATTGTCGTCGACTCTTTCATGGCTTCCAACGAGTCTAGCGTGCTCTTCTTTTTATTCATTTTATTGTTAATCGACGAACCGTCCAGATTAATAACTGTAGTCGTCATTAATTTCTCACTTTCGTAAGATTGGAGTGGGGGGACGAAAATGAGGTCAGTCTTTATTTCTTTAATAAAAGACAGATAAATGAGTATTTAACGAGAAAATATCACACTTAGATATATTTTTAGAACAAAAAAAATTGAGGCATTTTTTACCAGTCAATACTATATGATATTAAATAGTTGCATACCATATGGTAAGAAAGCGTACCATGATGGTATGAACATACCAAGACTATAGGAATGTTGAATACATGATAGTAGGATCATACTAACTGTCATTTACAACTTTCATCATTGTATACCACAAGTTACCACCCTCATACTAGAGTGCAGTGGCGGATCTAGGGCTGGGCCACCCCGGGCCATGGCCCAGCCCTCCTCCGATCCCGAGTTATTATAGTACGTATGAATTTTTTAATTTTAGGTGTTCGGTCTAGTAATATTTAAAAGTTGGTTTAATGTTCTTTGATAATATGATTTTGTGTAACTTGAAAAATGGTCTAGCTGAATATATCCAAACCACTATTCTAAATTTAGACTAAAAATTCAAGCCCCAATAGTTTTCATTTGAAAAGAATAAAATAAACAATGAAACATAAAAGCCTTTCACGTAAATGACTAAAAGTGTAAAATTTCATTGAAATAAAAAAAATATCTAAACTAAATCTCATACTTCTCTTAAGAAATCAAAAAATTCCCCCAATCCCAAAAATACAAAATTAGAACGAGGAGACGAACGGACCCAAAATGAATTCTTCAGCTAGTTCGTTGGGCGCTGATTTTTTCCAGCCTTTGATGAAAAAAATATTTACAAACTAGTTCCATCATTTAAATTGCTTGAGTTGAGTGGTGCACTAGATCCTAAAAGTTCTTTCCGGTATTTTAATGAATAGAAAATATGTACAAGCTTGCTCAAGAGTTTGTCCTCGAGATTTTGAAGGCGATTAGCATTCTTTGAAGAATGATCTACAATGGTATGCCGCTCATGTGGTTCATAGTCATGAATATAATGTTTCTTCCCTTGCAAAATTACTAGAGAAGCTAGTGGAAACAGAGATGGATACACAATACAAATTGATTTGTCAGTTGATTCGTCTAATGTTGACCTAGCTCGTTTCAACGGCTGCTATGGAGATAACATTTTCGGCAATGAAACATGTGAAAACTTATTTACGCAACAAAATGAGCGATGAATTTCTCGCTAATTGCTTAACTATTTTCTTCGAGATAGAGTATGTTATTGGTATGGATGAGGAATCCATGATTTGATGAATTCGCTAAATTAAAAGACCGTCATGTGCAATTGATATTGTAATGAAAACTATAGTCATTATTTATTTTTTGTTTACGATATCTAATTTTCTATTCAAATTCGGCCCAACGCTCTACTATGTTCTGGATCCGCCGCTGCTAGAGTGGTAAAGTATGGTGATTTTTTGTCCTGTATTTTTTCACCTAGAAATTTGTAGATCTAATAGATCATGATGAACTCGTTTCTTCTGAAGAAATATTTTCAAAAACAACTTAACAACAAAGACGTTATCATATGGTATGGAGTTGGTAACGGGAGGTATGAAACAAATTTCTCAAAAAATATTAAAAATTGATCTCATTTTGTAGAGCACAATAAACTCGTTCCGTCTGTGCAAAAAAAAAATCCGAATTAGAACGGAGAAAATAAGAGCCGACTAAAAAAACAAGAAAAAATAAAATAATTTTAATTCACAACCTTAAATTTAAATTTTCTGATCCCACTTAAATCTAAATTACCAATTTAATTACTCATATGACTGTATCTTCAGCCACATAACCCTTTGCCCAACCATATCACTTGACTTGTCATTAGGGATGGCAATAAAACCCGAACCCACGGGTACCCACCCGACCCAACCCGGTCAACGCGGGTAAAATCCGTGTTGGCGGGTTTTGGGCCGGGTTTGGGTTTAAACCCGTTCACTATTCACCGGGTTGGGTTGGGTTTGGGTTTAGGTAAACACGACCCATGGGTACCCGCCCACACTCATATAATTAATTTTCTCGGTAGATTTAATATTCTAAACAACTAATCTTATTTATGTTTGTGGAGGCATATCTAATTTTTTCGTTCTAATTGTGTAGAATGAAGTTGATGTTATTGAGTGGAGAATGAAGAACTTAATTGAAAGGAAGAAGTTTTCAATTAATCATGTTATTTATGGATAATTTGTGATTGACTTCAATTTTCTTGAGTTTTCTAGATTGGTGTTGAACAATTCAATTTGTATAGTTAATTTGTGATTTGCTCGAATTTTTTAGAATGGTGTTTTATATATAAATAATTTGTATTGAGATTGATATTTGACTTTAATTTTGATAAAACTTGTTATTGTAAATTTTTTACGACAAAAACCCGTGGGTACCCATGAACCCGCAGATACCCAACGGGTTGGGTTGGGTTTGAGTTTTTCAAACCCAGTAAATTTTACCGCGGGTTTTTTTCATGAATAAACCCATGGATTTGGGTTTGAGTTTGGCAAAATCCGACCCAACCAGACCCATTGCCATCCCTACTTGTCATTGCTAAATCATAGTCCAGGTCGGGCCCGGTAGGCGGTAGGAACGGACATAAATCAGCAAACAAAGAGACCCAGTAAATCATGGACCTAGATAAATTGGCCCAACTAACAGCCCGCAAGCCCAGTAGGGTTAAGGATAAATATGCGGCGCCAGAATCCAGAACCCGCCGCCACGTGTACTATATCATCAAATCTATCAGCTATTAATACGCAGGACCACGCTACACTACAGTGCTCCATTCTTTGCGTCACTTCTTCCGTCAGTCTCAGACAGTTACCAAATCAAATCTCTCTCCCAAAACCCTAGCTCCCCAAAATCCACAACCAGATCTAAACCTTTCCCGCCCGCCATTACCGCTTCTTACCTTCTCCCATGGTGAGTTTCGTGCGCTGCGGTCCAGAAGCTTCACTCAATTCAGCTTAATTTCTCCCTTTTCACTATCTCCTCGATTTTTCTCGCGTTTGGTCTTGTAGAATAGCCGCGGCGGAGCAGGAAGAGGCGGCGGAGGAGGCAGGGGTCGATTCCGGGGATCGTCTCGATTTGACGGCGGTGGAGGAAGGCAAGGGAGCCATCCGCCGTCGAGGCACCTTTGGGTTGGGAATCTATCTCACAACATAGAGGAATACGACCTGACGCGGCATTTTCTGGAGTTCGGCGATCTCGACAAAGTTTCGTTCCATCCTGGCCGGAGCTACGCCTTCATCAACTTCAAGAACGACGAGGACGCGATCGCTGCGTACAAAGTTCTCCAGGGGTTCCCCGTCGACGGTCTCCCTCTTAGGATTGAGTTTGCCAAGGCGGTTAGTTTTTTTGCGGCCCCTCTTCTTCTCCTTCTTCTTTCTGCCGTTTTCGTGATTTCTTCGTCTTATTCTACTTCGCCTTTTTATGATTTTGATTCTTCTGTTGATATGTACTCGTCTTCCTCGTTGAATTCAATTGAAGTTCAATGCTTTGAAGCTGCTATAGTCTCAGATTCTAAATACAAATTTAGATAAGAGCTTTGATGGGTTGAGTAATCGATTCATCAACTTAGCCAATTTAAGCTTCAATTTTGAGCATAGAATCAGTCATGGGTCAATCAATGACTGTTAATCTGGTTAGTGAAGCAATTCTTTAACAGAAATCTAAACATGGATTTGCTTAAGCTGCAGTTTATGCACTCAGGTCGACCCATTGTTGTTAATCTGATTAGGGAAGTGAATCTATGCATAGTTTCATCAAGTTAGCCAATTTCAACTGGAAAAGTTTCAACAGAATGGGTGAAACAATTGTGTCAATCTGTGTGGTTAAGCTTAAGCAAATCCATACTAGAAAATCTGAAGTTGAACTCAGTCTCAGTTCATCAAGTTAAGCCAATTTTAGGCTTCCAGTTTGCGAATTCAATCCCGACTTAATGAAGTTAACAATGAATCAGGAATAAGATTGCAAACAGCACTTAGAACTTTTAGTCCACTTTCCTGCATCCTCCAGTTTCAGTATGTCCAGCATTGTTCCCATTTCCTGAATTCAACATGATACCTTGATACTCCAGGTCCCAAATCCGGTTTTCCCGAGCATATGATTGCTACCTATAAGCGATTAACTCGCACTGATCCAAACAATGAACTACGGCAAGTTAACTGTAGCTTAGTCTCATACACAGGCATGCTTCAATCAAGCTATTGATAATGTTGGAAATCTGTTCTGTGATCAAAACGAAAAGTTTCTACTGTTTCTGGCCATATGATTAATTTTGCAGAGGGCAAAAGAAGGTTCTTATATCCATATCTGAGATATGACTAGTTAAGGGATTCTTCTCTTGTTGGCTACTACCATTACCATTCATCATTCTCAATTCTTCTTCCAGCAAACCTAAAGGATAAGCAACCACTGGATTCCAGGGACTATACGGGCCGAATTGCAATCGAACTGTTCACCCTTTTCCCAGAAAAAAACTTACTTAGCAGGAAGCTTTCATCATTGAACTCACCAGTCGGACCCTTTGCCATTCAGTACTTAAACAGTCAGATTTCCATTTGCGACTTCGGTAATCATAACTAACGACACTCCAATCCAACATACACTACACAACAATTTGATACTCAATTATGAATTTGAAATCCTATACTTGAATATTTCGGTTAAAATCGTATTGCCTGGTTCTCAGATGTGTCCTCCTGAGGGTTTCCAGATGACACAGCCAGAGGCCCTGATCCTAAAACTGACTTCCATGGATAATGCAGTACCCAATTAATCACTAATTTCTTATTATGTTTTAGATTATGATACCCAGTTCATAATAACCACAAAACAGCTGTTAGCTGACCAATGATCTTGGAAATTACAGATTTACTAGTGAAATGAAATCGATCCTTGAATCAGCTAATGAAAGATTGAACTCCAGGTGTTATTTAGCAGCTAGCCTGCACTGTCTGGCCTTTGTGACCTTCAATTACCAATTAAATGGACTTGTATGAGGGTTGGTCAACTTTGTTAGGTGAGGCATCATCATAAACTTATTATGGTTTCTAATGTGTAATGGAGTTCCATTGCTCAAATCACCGTTCCAACTGATGAATATCAAAGGATAAAGGACAGGTTGATATGTTGGTTCACAATATACCTGAGTGCAGCAGTTCTTGTGTTTTTAGCTACTGCTTATGGTGTAAATAGTTTTTTTCTTCTTCTTCTGATGAACAATGAAATGCACTTCAGAGAACTCCATCCCAGCAACTGACAATCTTTTGCAGGTTTTCAATGTTAAGTAACATAACTTTGATTGTTTGGTTCCCTGAACTTTTTATAAGATTCTTAATCTCAGGACAAGCCATCGTCATCATCACGTGATGAAGATCACGAGCAACTAAGTCCCAGTGAAGTCCTATGGATAAGCTTCCCAGCTGTGCTCAAAGTCGACGAAGCGATCCTGAGAAAGGCCTTCTCCCAATTTGGTGAGATAGAGAGGATCACAGTAATCCCAGGTCGTAGCTATGCATTCGTACAGTTTAGAGCCTTGTCATCAGCTTGCAGGGCTAAAGAGACTCTCCAGGGGAAGCTGTTCGGTAACCCACGCGTTCATATCAGTTATGCCAGGAATGAAGGGCGGCCGAGATCCCCTCGCCTAGTTGGAGATTCTTCTGATGGTGGTGGCGGGAGGTATGATTTTGTTGGTGGAGGAAAGAGTAGTCAGTTTGACAGCTGGCGGTTCGAAGAGGAGCTAGGACCCCCACCAAATGTGTATGAAAGGCGTGGTGGGGCCCTTAGGGGAGTTGGTCGAAAGAGTTCATTGTTATACGAAGAGGAACAGTGGGATTTGCCTGCCGAAGAAGATTCTTTGTATCCCAGTAACAAGAAGCTGAAGACAGGATCTTTCGAACATGAGCTTCCTGACCACCATCCTTACTCTGACCAAGAAAGTCGACGTGCACCTCAAGGGGGATTTGCTGATTTTCCCTACCAGCCAGAAGGTCGTGGGAGGAATGTGGATCGCTGGAAGGGATCTTATGAGGATATTCAGCAGAGCCCGGCAGGAGAACCTTTGTTGCATGTTCCTGTAGAGAGGAAAAGGTTTGGTGGTTCATCTGAACCTGTAGTACCAAAGCCTTCATTGAAGTTGTGGCAATGGGAAGGGGCGATAGCGAAGGGAGGGAGTCTGGTTTGTCAAGCTCGTGCTTTTCCCGTGGGGAAATCTATGGAGATCATGTTGTAAGTAGTTGTTAGATCATTGCTTTCTTCTGGCTTTGAGAGTTTGATCTCAGTCGGTTTTGAAACCAGTGTTAATCTCCCATTTCCCCGTACTTTTGCAGGCCAGGATACTTGGACTGCACAGCGAGAACAAGCCTCGACATGCTTTCAAAACACTACGACCAGGCAGCTTCAGCTTGGGTCATCTTCTTCGTCCCAGCAAGCGATGCTGACATGGGACACTACAACGAGTTCATGCACTACCTCGGCGAAAAGCAACGAGCAGCAGTCGCGAAACTTGATGAAAGAACCACTTTGTTCCTTGTGCCACCATCCGAGTTCTCAGAGAAAGTGCTGAAAGTTCCAGGAGACATGAGCATTTCTGGCGTCGTCCTAAGATTGGAGCCTCAGGTTTCGAACTCGGTGGTGCGCCCACCTCATGAACCGAACTTGCACTTCCAAGGGGATGCTCATATGCCTTACAAAGCAGCACCTCTTCCCCAGAAGGATTCTTTAGGAATGCCGCCAGTTGGATTCTCGGGTTCTGTTCATCCATCTCATGGGGGGAGTATGTCGAATGCATACGCTGATCATAGGAATGAATATCTTACTCCTCCCCAGCCACGTAATAGAATTGACATGTCGCCGCAGCAGGCATCTGGTGCTGGAAATGATCTGGTGTATCATCATGATCCTCACCACCAAGGTTAGTTAAAACCGAGATCTTAATTACAAAAACAAAATTTTACGAGTTTTACCGAGCTTCATGGTCCTGATTGTCACTTGATCATGTCAGGAGCATTGCCTGGAAATAGCTCAGGCCATTATGCAGGTGGAAGATCAAACATGTCCATTCAGCAGCAGCCAACACCACATTCAGTTCCTTCATCCCTCGGTGCTGCAGGCCTCCAGCCACAGCAGTTGGCGCAGTTAGTATCTTCACTTCTCGGGCAGCAGGGCCAGCTGGGAGGGAACAATCCGGACCCATCAATTGCCGATGATCCAAGGAAGGGTAGCTCGTTGGCGGCACAAACACATGACTTGCACAACAATAACCAGCAGAATTATGAGCCATCTTCTCAGTATGGTCAACTTCAGCATCTGCAGCAGCAAACTGCGAATGTGCTGACAGCAATGAATAGAGACACGCAGTCGACGGCAGTGGGGCAGATGAATCCTCCGTCAGGGGTTCAAGGTGGTACTGCCGGTTCACAAGGTGGTGCCGGCGATGTTAAAAAGCTCGAGGCAACATTAGAACTTGCAGCAACTCTTCTTAAACAGCTTCAACAAGGGAAGGGGCCTTAGGGAGATAACAGTTTATAACATCCTTTTATGTTATGGTCTGAAAAAGGTTTAGTAGCATGTTTGAACAGAAAAGAAAACACTTTCATCCTTTAGTGTCCATGGTTGGTTTTGATTCTCTTATGGTGCAGTTACACTTCAACACCCTTCAAGTTTCTTCTTTGGCCAACGAGCAGAGTGGGTCCACACATGTGGTTAACTCGAAATTTTAAACGGATCAAAAGCACAAGAAAAATAGGATCCAAACGAAACTGGTTTCTGAGTTTTTCAGCATTTTGATACTTCAATGCTAGTTTATATCGACTGGATCAAGCTCGCCATTATAAAAGAATGATTTGAAAGAAAAAAAATGTAAATTTAAGTGAGTTTAAATTTTAACAAAAGAAAATTAATAGAACATGGCTAACTTATCCATCCAATCAGATTTAATATGTCTTAGGTACAAACAAGGCAACTTGATGGTAGATGCTGTGAAGACTCGGTGGGCGGGCCCTTACTTCGTGATTGTATTCAATTATTGAGCTCATGTTCTTCTTGTATTCACTTTAGCTCGGTCCCGAGGACTGTCAACTGGGCTGCCCATAGAGTGGCAAGACAAGCCCTGCTGCTGTCCCCTGTAGATATAGCGTCCTTCGATTTTGTAGGGTGGCTTCATTAATTGTCTTTTTGAGGTTTTGGGTAGAGGATTTAACTACTGTAATATATTACTTGGAAAAAAAAGTACAAACAAACCCAACTCCTTAATGCACAAGGTACAACCCTTAATTTAGAACAAGGAATGGAGGGAACTTTTTGCCCCCGTTTCTATATATGAAAGGATAGGAAGAATTACAAAATAGTGTCAACGTTACATCAATGATCAATCAATTTGCAACATATACATGAAAGAATAATGAACCCATTGCCTCACTATACAGGTAAGCGACATGTATTGATTTATACCCCGTTCCTGGTCTTATTTGGGGAAAGCTAGACATAGAAATAGGTAGAAGTGTCAGCTGCATTTGCAACATCTCTGCAGAGAATGGACCGTGCTTCGATTACTGATCGCGGCGGCTCTATATCCTTATCCTGCAGTGAGTTTCCGAGAAGCCTCTGCATCTGGGAAGCGAATATGTCGTCCAGAATCTGCGGGGATAGATAAGGGCACATCATTCCCAGCAAGTTCACTCTTTAGCAGCATGGTATAAGAAGAAAAATGGCGCTAAACTTTCAAGATACCCAATAAGCACAAGAATTTACCCCAAGAGCATAGCAGGATCCATTGTACCAAACCCTGTTCTCCTTTCTGCCCTCAAGAAACTTCAGTACAATCTAGAATGAAGGGATGAAACAACAAACAAGCAAGCACCAATCAAGATATAGACGATTTCTTGGGAAGTAAGGCAACTAGGTTAGTTTTTTCAAGAACATGGATAAGGAAAGCTGATTCTTGTACCTGTCCCATTCTATCCCACAATCCACGGGAAGCTGCAACGAATATCCGGCTGGAGAAGACACCATGCAGATTGGATATGGAGTCGATGAGCTGTGATGTCAGCATTTGCATTCTTTCACGGACATCAGCCTCTCCATCTTCTTCCTTTATCTCTTCCAAGATTCTCTTCAGCCTTGTACCACGATTAGCTTGCATCTGAAGCAACCACAGAGTTTGAAAGGCAAGAAACAACTAAAACATAACATATGACTTGTCAAGATAATTAGATTAGAGGGAGAGAGAGGTTACGTTGTTCACGAGCTTTTCCACCGTGGCCTGCAAGTAATTTTTGTACTTGGTTTTGAGCAGAACTGTGATCCCATTCATCTGCTCCCCGAAAGAAGACCTTTTATCTCCAGCCACCGGAAGGCAGGATGCCCAGGATCTCAAGATCTCCTCCACTCTACAGTGCAAGACATCTACTATTCGCTTGATTGTGTTCAGGAAGGTTCCCAGCTGCATAAACGAAAGACTCCTAAGATGATGCAAAATTCAGGAACCTTGGATATATTTTATAACCCGTATCTGCATCACTAACTTGGTTGGGTACGGAATAAGGTGCCATGGATTGTCTTCTTGCCAGCTTCTGGACGTGCATATTCAGCCTCTTGGGGATACTGTCCTTCAATGGAGTCAGGATGTCACTGTATTGCTTCTCTAATGCCTTAATTATTGCTCGTTCCATATTAGCAGCAGCCTTCCAGAGGTCAGAAAAAAGGTTATTTGCAGTTGGTTAAGGTTGTTTTCGATTCTTTATGCTAGCGGTTTATGACATTCGGAAGAGCTGGAACTTACAGTTTCGAGGATCAGAGAGTACTGAGGCCATCTATTTATCACCACTTCATAGCGAATTAGATAGTCCTTCATTTTGTCATACATTTCTTCAGCAAAAGGAGAGGTGGCGTGATTTGTTGTTACCCCAGCCCATGGAACCTGAAAAATATCATCATCTAGGTAAGAATGCTGCTGTTTTTGAGTTGCCAGCCAAACCAAAACCTATTGTGATATTGACTGACACTGAGATATCAGAAAGCATATACCTTCTCTGCTTTGCAAAGCTCAAGCAAGTTTAGTTCCATATCTTGCACCCACACGATTATGTAGCTGTGAAACAACCCTCTTGCTTCTACACCACCTTCCACGGTACTGAAAAATACCAAAAAGAATAGCATATAACAATAAATTGTATTATATAGGTAGCATTGAGTTTGCGCTAGTTGTATGTGTTTGATTCCTTGCAACAAACCTGATTTCCCATAAATCAAGGTCTCTTTCAAAGTCAGCGATTGCTGTCAGAAGCTCATTTACATGTGGCTGCGGGCTACTTGGAGGCCATGCGGACAGAAAGCTACTAAGCCTGTTACACAATTCCGTGCTGTAAACAGCAGCTGAGATGTTTGACAGGTCAATGGAGCTGAAATTACACAAAAGAGAGCATGTGAGAACAAAGAGCTCGAGTTCTGAAAATAGCAAAAGGGTGAAGTTGATGAAAGACGAAATATCTGCAACATTCTCTTAAAAGTAAAGAAGGAAAGACCTTAAAGATTACATATTGGACGACATGGTTGGTTAAAGTGGAGAAGATATTCTTGCCTGGGGAAGATGTCCTGATTGTGGATTTTGATGTCTGCCTGTATTTCTTTGCTAATGTTCATGCACAGATTCTTCATCTTCAAATAAGCAGTCGAGACAGTTATGGAGTCCAAGAGGTAGCCTTCGGAATTGCAGGAGACAAATTCGTCGGTCTCGATCATGTGCTTACGGCACCTTTTCTTCGCTGCAGCCTGTAACCAAAGACTCATCTGGTTAAAAACTTCTGCTGGTTATGAAATAATGTATAAAGAAAAGCAAAAATGAGCTCGGTGACGTGGATAACCATTTTATGTCATTACCTGCAAGTAGGTCTGCAACATAATTTGTGCATCATGAGACAGTACATCATGAAGAAGGGTATAGACATTGACAGCAGGAGTTAAAGCTGGTGCAGCGGAGTCTCGCACTGGACCAAACAAGTCAGCCAAACCAGTAGGAGAGGATTCATCCAATGACTTGTAATTCTCGAAAACAGTTGCCAGCAGCTTTTCAATTTGTGTTTCACAATCCAACAATATACTTTTCTGCAATTGAAGAACAACATAGTTTCATGAGTTAATCTGAGCAAGTGATGATAGGAGTCTAGAAGTAGTGTATAGAAATCTGATCACTTTACCGGTGAAACTTGTCCCGAAGCTAGTAAGTAGCAACATATAAAAGGATTACTTGTCTCAACTCAGATTCAAAGCCTACCTCTTGCCTAGTCAAACTTTTTTCACTTCTAGCCTTGAAAATGGGCACGAGCAACTCGTTGACAAGCTCTAAGCAGTCCTTAGTAGGTGTAGCCACATTCATGATATGCGAAAGATACCTGCAAAAAAGAAAAACGAAATGCTAAAAATAGAATGAAAGAGATAAACAAGAATGAAACAACTAACCAAAGGTAGTTCATAGTTGTAGGCACCTCAGCTTTGTATATGAACCGGATACTCCATAATAGTCAGCAAATTCAGTCAGGAGCCAATTCCAAGGTCCATCTAGCTTCAAATTTCGGGCATGGAAATGTTGTGCACGCATGGCAGCCTCCAATAACAAATCATAAGCCAGTGTCTCCGCAACAGGTCCACTCTATTGGTCATTGTACAATATATAAAACTTCGATAAGTTTGAATTTTCAGAAACATTGCAAACACATTATAGTGAGAGCCTAAGTTATCCCCTTATCACTACTGATTCAGCCTTTTTTCTTCTTGAATGATTGGAACTAAAGAAAATTTGAACCTTTATACTATTAGTCTCATCACAGGTAATCGTGCTGCTAATGGAGAGCTGTATCTTCCCAACACATTCTTGGCCCTCCAGATAAAGAGGCCACCATCGGATTCTATCATTCTGCATGATTTGGATGGTCATATCAGATAAACAATACATATATTTGGAAATTCCATTACTTCTCCTGCAAGAAACTGGTACCAGAGGATACATACGGGATTTTCATTGAGAGATGAAATTGGAATCGTGGCTCGGCCTTGGAGGGATTGTTTGCTATCTTGAACTTCTACCAGAAGAGCATCCCCTTCACTCTCTGGGAAACTGATTTACCAGATAGCATAAGCTCGTTACCAACAATCAATTCAATAATAATCTGAAAGGTTAACATTAGAGCAGGAACTTACAAGACATGGTACTCCCCACTTCCAGGGTGCAAGCATATTGTAGAAGCTGATTCAACTTCAGCACCTTCAGAATCACTCTTCAGTTGGAAAAAGCATGGCATTTTCTCTAGAAACAGAACATAAATATCTTCAGCTAGAATACAAATACACAAAATTTGAACAAGAGAGCTTGTCACTTAATAACAACTGCTAACCTTCTGATATTGCAGGAAATGAAGCAAGCTTAAGAGAATTCATTCCATTTTTTACAAGAGACGAGACTTGTCGGGCATAGTCTTTCCCCATTTGCATGTAAATAGCACTCCGCATTGAGTTTGAGCTCTTAAGTGCCCGTCTTGGTACTACTCGAAGCTTCCTTACTGACAAGAACCAATAGCAACACGACATATACTTAGCCAGGTGTTTAAGATAAGAGTTTTGTATATCAAGAATTCCTGATGATTAACATGGACATTATTCTCTCACTCTGTTCTACACAATGGGTAGGAAAAACTTACCATCCACTCTTATCTTCCCTACCACCTTCTTCACCCTTGAAGAGCCCATCTGCTCTGCATTCTTAGCAGTTCTCACTTCCGTTGCCTGTACACCTCGTGGTTGTAGCAAAAATTTGTGCAGTCTACATCACGAGAATCGTATCAATGGATATATCACTTACTTTATTTCTTGCATTACAGCAACCAAATATATTTCAACATTCTTGTACCCAGTACAAAGAACAGGAATTACTAGGATGCATACCCAAAGGCACTTCTGAGAAGCAGACACTCATCACGCATAAATTCAGGAGCTTCTGTGCAGCCTTTAGCCCATGAGTACAAGCATAGGCGGATGCAAGCATCGTATGCTATGAGAGTTTGCCAAGCATGTTGGCCACTGCGACAATAAAAACTAAATCCATAAGCATAAACAACTTCTGTCAATCTGAATCTATGTTCAACAGCTTAACTCAGTCAAATAAACTTGCCTTGTGTATGATTGATCCAAAGAAGTTGTTTGCCAATAAGGCATCTTTACTTCCCTTTGGTCCGTCACTGTCGAGTTTAGTCCACTGCATAAGACAAGCACTTCAGTGACATATTGCTTTTAGTCTGAGTTAACTGTATAATCATTAATAGCAAGAATGTCATACGTATCAACAAATTCTGTGCTTTGAACGGAATGAAGCGTTGGATCAAGCAGACTTTCTCCTACTCCATGTCGATTCACTGGTTCTCTGAACTTGCATATGCCATCTCCACTTTGCTCAGCTTCAGTTTCATCTCCATAGCTACTGTCCTCTCTTCCGACTTCCATAGCCGGAGGTGCACTTGGAGTCCCGAAATCATCCAGCTGTTTAAACAGAACATACAAGCACTCCAACTTAGTCCTTACCAATCCACATGAACCAACAAGCCAGTCAAAAGCTTTTCAGTAGACCAACTTACATTGTATGCAAATCGGGAGCTACTTAGCTGAGCTCTCTCCCGAAGTGAGTAATTCCCATGGGAAGTCGTTGAGCCATCGAGATCAGCAGGTTTCCTGATTCCCACTCCACCATCCGTTGTAAACCTTCTCAACCCGCCGCCGCCGCCGCTGCCGGGCACTTCAATTTTCAAGTCCTCCTTCAACAATCCACGGTTCAATTTTCGCTTAGGCCTTTCCGCAAACACCATCTCTACATCCTCGTAACCCCCAGCCACAGGCCTCTCCAAGAAATCCAAGTCAACCGCACTTCCCACCTCGTCTTCCCCATCTTCATCCCCACCATACAAAGAGTAATTCCCGGCCGTGTAATCAGACACCGAAGCCACGCTCTCCCCGTCATCTTCCTGATCGCTAAAACTCGGCGGCACTAGGGTTCGAGGCGTGAGAAACCCGGATGAGCTGAACTTAAGCGGAGGCAGTAATTGGGAAGAAGCGGAAGAGTATAGAAGCGGCGACCTCGGTGCCAGAGGATCTCTTGGAGACTTCGGGAACAAACCCCTCACCGGCGACCTCGTCTCCGTCAGTGGAGATAGCGGCGATCTCAATTCGTCCACTGCCCGTCCCTGAAAATGAACAGAATTCAGAAAGAAGAGAAAAAAATTAGTACATTAGGATCAAAGCTTCAACTGGCATTGGAGTGATTTGGAAGGAGCGTTTACCTGGTTGACCCAGTTGATGGCGGACTCGTCTAAGCCTTCAGTGAACATTTTTCCCGTGATCTGATAAGAAGAGGACGGAATGCAGAAACCGAAGTTTCGAAGCTGGGAGATGGCGGAAAGGAGAATTAGGTGGAAGGGAGGGAGCTGGTTGGAGATTAAGGAAGGAGACAGCTATGAGCCTATGACTATGGGGAATTAGTTTTCGAATGGGGTAACGGCTAGTTTTGACGCTGTGGCAGAGTTGCTTTTTCGGACTGGCGACCGACAGGTTAGAGATGACGAGGCATTTTCTGTGTGGCAAAGAGTAAGAATATAAAAGCGGGGAGAAAGAGAAATGGAGAAGCCCAGACCGAGTCGGGCTATACTGGCGGTTTGGGCTTAATCAATAATGGAAGCCTGGGCTTAATCAAGAATAGAAGCCCAAGTATAGTTTGGGTTCGGGGTTAACTTCTCAAATTCAGTAAGTAGAGACGTGTTCGATAGGGTATTCAAATAGTTACTATGGTATCAAATTATTTTAGTCGAAAATCTAATAATTATGAAATAAATATTTTAAATAGATCGGTTAAATTAACACAAAAATAACTTTTTAGAGAATAAACTTTGAAAAATATAATGCACGATTAACAGATGTTATGGATTTAGGATTCAGCTAATATATATCGTGCTAGCCTACACATCTTTCCTAATAAGAGGCTAATAATTGACCACAGAGATGAAGTTATAGGAAGTTGTCTCACTCTATATTAATTGTGTTTGTGGAGAATTGAATTTGGGTCATCGGCAAAGTGATCCATTAGCTTTTAGGTTGAGAAGTAGGGATGGGAAACGGTACGGTCTGGTCCAGATCAGACCATATACATGGTCTATGGTTCAGACCGAGAGGTTAAGGTATAGACCACAGACTATACGGTCCGGTTCATACCATATCTATGCGGTCTGGTTCAGTCTGGTCTGGTCCAGATAGACCACACTCAACGAAAAATGAATAATTTGTTTAGTCAAACACACAAAAAATTGAACCAATAACCAAGAAAAATAATTGTTATTTGCCTTAAAACATTAATCCTAACATGCATGAATAATTTTGATACTCCAAATTTTAGTACATAACAAAGATACAAAGTAAAAACATCCCAGCTTGCACCATAACGTCATAAACATTAACATAATGTCATATGGAGACACTATTATCTCTACTCTCTAGTTAAATGTGGTTGTGAATGAAGGAGGGAAGAGATTCACAAAATTAAGGTTGAGACTTGGGTGTCATTGTGAGAGTGGTCGAATGGGCTGTTAACACGTATTGACAAGTCAGTTGGGTCCACGGTTTGGTCCGGTAAACCGCGGTCTAGACCAGACCAAGAGATCAAATCATAAAATAATACAGACCATGGACCAGACCAGACCATACTTCACGGTCTACGGTCTGGACCAAATTGTGCGGTACGATTTGAACCACGGTTTTTTCTAACGGTCTGGTCTATTTTCCCAGCCTACTACGAAGAGTATTATATCAAGCACAACAATATAATACATTGACCACACCAAATAAACTAAACCAAATTAGTTGATAATTTTAACAAATAAACCGAACAAAATGCTACTAGTAATGATTATTATGGTTTTCAGTCGTTTGAACAACCCTACTATCTATGCGTGAATGGGGATAAAATACTTTGGGTACCACTTAAATTTGAGAATTGGGAGAGACATATCACTTAACTTTAAATAGGGCGTCGGGTACATTAAAGTTTCCAAAAGGTGTATTCATCTAGTTTTCCATCCAACCCAAAAAAAATTGATTACATTTTGGTATCTAAAACTTTTAAAAACATCCAAAACTATATTTCAACAAATATTATTTAATATAAAATTAGAAAACCTTCTAAACATAGTATTACTAGAATGGATAATGAATTTATTTTCAATAAAATAGATAAATTAGTAAAAATAATAAACAAATATCAAGAAGGAATCATAAATATACTAGAAGATAATAATAAGAATAATATTAATATTAGAAGATCTTTTTAAACTAATAATCCAATTAGAAGCACCACTTAAAATGATAATTGATTCTAAATTTCTTATTCAAAAATGGGTTTAGTCTTCAAAAGAGAATTCCATTTAAATTATAAAAAATGATGTTTTTATAAAATCGAAGGATTATTTACAATAAGAAAAGTGGAATGATTTTTATAAAAAAAAATTAGCCAATTCTGAAATTTAGAAAATAGAATATTCCAATAATATTCTGTCAATTTTAACGGAATGCACTTAAAAATAAACTTAAGTGATACTGGGTGCACATATAATAAAGTTCGGTGGTATAACTCTCCCAATTTAATACTTTAGTTATATCCGATGTGTTTTACCCAGGAACAACTGTCTATGCGTGAACTTTTGAGGAGGAAGTTGAAATGAGTTCAGAGCAAAGTGGGCTATTTGTTGTCAACTTGTAATTTCCACGATCTGGATTACATATATGTGCTAGATTTAATTATGTATGTAAAAGATCGAACCCATATAGACTCAGATAAGAAATTATCAAGAATATATAATAGAATGGATTGGAAAATATAGTCTGTAATTCGAATAAAATGTAAAAAGATTCGAGTAACCCTCTTATTACTTAGTAGGGATATCATAGCTCGGAGACGTTAAAAAGCCAATTATAAAGCAAAGCCTCAACCATTCAACAAACTATTCGAAAGTTGATGCCGATTAGTAAGAGAATGTTTAGGAAACCTTATCGATATGACCGATTGGAAGTACCAGATACCAGAACAAAATAAGTAGGCAATTTTAGGGGTTGGAAACATTTGAACCGTAGTTAAATCACAATTTTACTACAAAATTCTCTACCATTACCTTTTCTAGTATAACCTCCTTGAAGTGGTAATCGGTCAGTTACCGGGATAATCGGTTATCGGTATACCAATTAGTATGAAATTGTCACCGTCTACCATTACCGAATGGTAATCTGTATACCGATAATCGGTTATCTGATTAGTGGAGGAAGAGAGGAGGTTGGCGGCGATTAGAGAAGGGAAGAGCTTGGAGGAGAGAAGAGAACTAGAGAGTCGAAGTTGCTCCAGGGAGAGGTTTCTTTTGACGGTGAAGACTGGTTGTGTACTGTGTAGTCAGTTTATACAGTATACCGACCGGTTAGTAACCGGGCAGAAGTCGGTATATACTGACGTCCACATTATTGTCACCAAGTACCGGAACGGTATAACTACCATCGGTTATACCGTTAACCGGCAAACCGAATACCACCCCTTATTCCTCCAGTACCATTTCACAAACTTTGAGTATAACCCTTTTCTTCTACCGTGAAGAAAAAATCGAAACAAAATAATAATAAAAAATCAATACAACAAAAAGGTCCGCCCAACTACAATAGTTCTACAGCAGTTGGAAAAATATAACAAGAATCATCAACAGGTACATTCAAAATGAAGCTCAGAACGCTATCATAACATCTTCTAATCTCAAAAACATAACCAATAAGAAAAAGAATGAAAAATTGCAGAAACAGGGCTTCACGAATCCGAACATAAATCTCTATCCTCTGTAGTAGCAAGTACCTAGAGACAATGGTTTTCGAAGCTACCATACAGATTATCAGTAAAACGTGCAAAACGGTATAACTTTCCTTCCCCCACTTCAAAAGGTAAATCTGAAATTTTCTTCTTCCAGGTAAGATTGTACCTTAAGTTGTCTAATCGATCTTCACGGACGAGAAGAGATAGTGCACAAAGTAGAACGACATCCCGAACCCGATAGTGCCGGTGGACAGCATAATCGCGATAGCCATGATGAGAGAGTATCCAAGGTAGAGTATGGCAGAAACGGGCCCACTGAGACTCTGCAGATCGAAGACCAAGTAGTTGATGGAGTAGAGGAACACGTAGAGAGCTACAGATCCTGAGGCGTAGAACGCCTTCCACCACCATCTCCAGTCCTCAACGCATAGGTGCATGTAGGTGAGGACGACTGACACCTCAGCGCATACCACGATGAGGAGAATGAGGACTATCAGCAGGAAACCGAAGACGTAGTAGAATCGGCCGAGCCATATGCTGGAGAGGATGAAGAAGAGCTCGATGAAGAGGGTACCGAATGGTAAAGTTCCAGCACCAAGGACAAGTAGCCACGAGGGGTACTTTCGTGCGGGGATCTCCCTTGGGATCTGGTTGGTTCTCACAGGGTACTGAATCGCCTCCGCTTTTGTGCCAAAGAATCCACCCAGGAGAGTTAGTGGAACTGAGATACAGAACCAGAGCGCGAGAAGGATGAAGTACAAGGAAATCGGAATGGCCCCAGTGCTCTTGCTTCCCCATAGAATGAAGTTGAGTACTGTGAGGATGACGAAGACTATTCCAGGGAAGAAACATGCAACCGCCCATGAAACAGATCTCCATCCCTCGGTGGTCCCCTTCACGGTTCTCCATAACCGAACTGCCACATACCCTGCAATAATACCAAGGAATAGGTACAAGATTATCATTCCGGTCAGTAGCATTCCTCGAGAAGCGGGTGACATGAAACCAAATGCAGCGAAAACTATGGTCACAGCTGCCATCCCAGTAATTTGGACTCCATCTCCAATCATCACACAAAGAAGCTTCGAGTGCTCAGGTTCTCTGAACACATCACCAACAACAAGCTTCCACCCGGAAAGTTCCTCATTCATCTGGGCTTGAGCTTCCTTATCCAGCTCCTCATACCTAGTCAAATCCCTCCTCACGGTTCTCAAGAATATTACAAACACAATACCCGCCAAGAAGAAGATAACCATGAGCGAGTTTAGGATCGAGAACCAGTGAACTCTGGCACCTTCCATTTTCAAGTAAGCATCCCAACGAGACGGCCATCTGATATCAGATTTCACGAACTCAACGTCATAAGTGAAGGATACCCTTTCTTGTTCCCTTATGATTTGGGACTTCTCAAGCTCCAACGGGCAGCTTGGGGTAGTGATGTTGTCATACTTGTGAAGCTTGATCATAGTTTCGACATCGTACTTAACACTACACGGCACAACTTCGAAGCCGACTATTTCATACCCAGAAGCAGCCTTCTTATCTCCTTCAGAAATCACACCCATCCCTTCTTCACCAGTACCAATTATCTCCACCCCTCTGCCTTCATACTCGTGAACCAAAACAGTGAACTTGAGGTGATTGATTATGTAATCTTCATTGCTGTTCTGTGGGGTGTACCCAACTGGAAACCCGGTCCACTGGATCTTGATTCCATTTTGAGTAGCATACCTCATCACAGGCAGATTATCCAGAATCATGTTCACTTGGTAGAGATCTCGAGTTCTCTGTTTCAGTAGCTTTACCTCATGCTCACTCAATGGAGGTGTAGTGCAGAGGAAAATAGATTCATTGACATTCATTCGAAACCTATAGGGCGAGTTGTCGATCTGATCTCCCATGAGAAGCTCCCCAAGATTCTCTGCACTTTTCTTGATCCCCTCATCTGGCTTGCAGTAAGGAAGACTGTAGTAGCTGAATGGAAGCTCCGTCTCAATTGAAGTTAATGAATTGACTTTGGTAAATATATTGTCCCCGGTTGAATAGGTGTGCATGTAGCTACCAGGGAGGTAGAATCCATTGCAGGAATGTGCCAAGAGAACCACAAAAAGGAAAGCCCAGTGCATCTTGGGCATCCTCATCTCTTCCGATATCCCAACTGCAAAACCACTGGATTGAGACCAGATCCTTCGATGAGTACAGATAATATCTATAGACGTTCATATCAAGAGATCCATTCCAAAAATCAACAACAGCTACATTCATCATTGCAACATTTCTAGTGCACCGACTCCATTTTCTCCCTAGACATGCAAAGCAAAGCATTCGCAACCACCGCTCGAATTCATTTCCATTGTAAAATAGATGGATTAGACACAACGCACATAAGCGAAAACCCGAAGCGCGCAAATCTACGGTACATCTTAGAAACACGGCACAGAGTACGCCTACCGACAATCTGGTGATTAGGGGGAGCTAAAGCCCAACGAACAAAGGAGGATATATGTTGGATTAACATGTACGAAATCTCGAAGCCACCATTGCAGGACCTTCCTCTGGCCTCAATTAGATCTCGAGCACGAAAGTAAACATGCATCTAATCTAGACCTCCGATACGCCATCAAATTGAAGAGGATAAGGAGGAGATTGAGGAACGCTTACCTGATGCAGATCTAGATCGCCGAAGAGGAGAGCTCCGAGTCTGATGGACGGGCTCCCGATCCGGATTCTTTCCTCCGATATGCCTCCAGAAGCGTAAACCGACAGGGATTGCTCTTTGTATGGCTCTCGCACGTCGATTCTCTTTCTCCCTCTCTCTCTAGCTACGAAACTGCTCTGCTCGATTTCTGTGGAGATTGGAGGGGAGGGGAGATGGGATACAGGGGACGGTAGTTTTTTGGTTGCAGTGGAGACTGGAGAGACCTATAAAAAACTGAAAATGCGGAATAAATATAATAATGATAATAATAAAATATATTTAATTAGAGAGGTTCCCGTTGATGCAGACGACGCTTGCCTTCTTCTTTAATTGCCTTTATATTTCTTTTCATCATTAAATTTTCATATAAATTGTTCTTCTGCCACTAATTGTGTTAATTGTATCTTTTGCCAATATCCAGCTCGAATTGACAACATAAGCAAATATAATCGTGCAAAAAGTATATCAATATGATAGAAATCTCTTGTAACTTACAAGTTAGAACCACTATAAGCATCCTATATCTCTTCCATATTTGCTCGAATCTTATAAATAATACGCTTTGTTCGAACTATCGATAGCAAAGAAATTAGATGATTAGGGATTGTTTAGAAGTTGCGATTGCTAAATAGATGTATTGTTGAGAATGCATGTATAATATATTAATATTATACATGTATTGTCGAATTTGATGCATTGTAGAATACAACGTTTGGTATGTGTGATTGTGTATGTCGCATCAGCTAAAAGCTGAGACAAAACAATCTCAACTCAACTATCTCAACAATCACAACTAAAAGTTGAGATATAACAATCACTCAAAATGAGTCATAGTTTCTGTCGCATCATAGAAACAATCCATGTATTGTTTCTGCTAGAAAACAACAACAAAAAAACGATGCATTGTAAACAATACATGCATAATGACAATCTCAACAAAACAATCGCAACTTCCAAACGACTCCTTAGTGACCAACTACATAATAGAAGTTTACAATCAGTGACTAGTTAATGACAGCGTGAAAGAAATTAATAAGCCGAGTAACCACACATAAAATTCAGCTAAGTTATAGTCAAATTAGAATTCTTCACCTAAATTAGTTAATGAATAATTGTTTCGTAACTGTAACATCCCGAGCCTTTTCTCGATCAAGATATTGTCCGTTTTGGGTCTCGACCCTCACGATTTTCGATTTGGGGTGCAATTCAAGGTGACTTCTCATTAGGTCACCCATCCTTGTTGTACTCCACACCGAGCACGTTTAACTTTGGAGTTCTCACAAGAACTCTTCCATTTCACCTCAAACGCGTCTTGTTAGTTAAGGTCGGTTTCTTACTCATAAATTATGGATCTCTCTCGTGCTTTGTCTATATGGGATTCGCCTAAGGTGTTACAGGAACTCTCTAAAAAAAAATCCCTAAAAAACTCTCTCGTTAAAAAAAGATAAATCAACAAATAAAATGTAACATCCCGAACCTTTTCCCGAGCAAGATATTGTCGGCTTTGGGCCTCGACCCTCACGGTTTTCGACTTGGGGTGCAAATTTAAGGTGACTTCCCATAAGGTCACCCATCCTTGTTGTACTTCACACTGAGCACATTTAATTTACGAGTTCTCACAAGAACTCCTACATTTCAGATTTCACCCCAAAACGGGTCTTGTCAGTTAAGGTCGGTTTCTTACTTATTAACCATGGATCTCTCCCGTGTTTTGTCGATGTGGGATTCGTCTAAGGTGTTACATACACCCCCCCCCCCCTCTTGAGACTCAATGTCCTCGTTCAAGAGGGATGCAGAGAGGCTCTGATACCACTTGTAACATCCTGAACCTTTTCCCGAGCAAGACATTGTTCAGGTGACTTCCCACAAGGTCACCCATCCTTGTTGTACAACACACTGAGCACGTTTAACCCTAGAGTTCTCACAAGAACTCTTTCATTTTACCCCCAAAATGCGTCTTGTCAATTAAGACCAGTTTCTTACTTATGAACCATGAATCTCTCCCCGTAATTTGTCGATGTGGGATTCGCCTAAAATGTTACACAAAACACAACCTCTTTTGGGCTCTTTTGCAGCGGGCCGAAATAAAAACTTAAGCTTATTCTTTCGGCCCAATCAAAACCAGGCTACTCGATCCGCCAAGAACAGCAATTCGATCAAACCCGACCCGACTGGACTCGAGCTCTTGCACTGAAAATCTCCAGATCCACTTCCGTCACTCTCGCCTCCGCTTCCCTCCATCGCTGAAACCTTCTTCAACTTCAGACCAGCTGGTTCACAATTAGATCTTAAACCCGCCTTAAACCCTTACCGCCTCAATCCTCGGAAAACCCATCGATTTCTCACTTCTTCTTCCTTGCTGCGAAACGGTAGAGCAAGAATGGCTTTATGCAGAAGCGCCAAGCGTCCGCTTCAGGTGATGATGATGAAGGGAAGCTGCTCTTCTGCTGTGGAGTCGAGCTTCGGAACGTTTCTCCGGCGCTTCAGCTCTCAGGGTCCAGCGTCGGGGGAGCAGATGAGTCTTATCAAGCAACTGAGAGAGCGGACCAGTGCTCCAATCAAGGACGTTAAGGCCTCCCTTGTTGAGTGTAATTGGGACATTGGTAAGGAAGAAAAAAAAGACTTGTTTGATTCTATTTGGTTTTGAAGCTATTCTTGTTGATTTGGCTTGGGGTTGTGATATTTTGATGAATTGATGGTAGAGGCGGCGCAGAAGGATTTGAGGAAAAGAGGGATAGTTCTGGCATCGAAGAAGTCTGGTCGAACTGCGACTGAAGGGTTGCTCGCGTTGGCTCAGAGTGAAGGGAAGGCTGCCATTATCGAGCTTAATTGCGAGACTGACTTTGTTTCCAGAAATGAGATATTTCAGTACTTGGTAAAGCGAGCTCCCTCTTGAATTTTCTTTGTTACTCTTGGACAGTGAGTTCTTGTACATCAGTGGAGGTTTAACTGTTCTTGTTGCAGGCTTTATCTCTAGCAAAGCAAGCTCTGTTAGTGAAGAATGGTTCTCAGCAGCCTTCAGGGGTACTGTCAGTTGGTCCTGAATCGTTGGAGGTGAGAGCTATTGGCTGGAGCTTATTGTTAACATGGTACTGGTACTTCCTGCATTGAGTAAGCCACTGAGAGCTATCATTTGATGTTGTTTTGTCTGCAGGAACTGAAGTTGAATCTTGAGCATCCTAAGATAAGTGGAGAAACTACAGTTCATAACGCAATTACTGAGGTAGCTGCAATGATGGGAGAGAACGTCAAACTTAGAAGAGGATTTGTGATGTCTAGTCCTGGTGTTCTTTCCACCTACCTCCATACAAGTCCTCAACCAGGTTCGCACTGAAGGGATTTATCTCTAGATATAGAAAGTTTGCATCCCTTATTTAACGAGATTTTTCTATTCCGAATCATAAATTGGTATCTTTGTGCTTATAATACGAACTCATTGACTGAATTTAGGTTTGGGTCGTATTGCTGGACTTTTATCTCTTGAAACTAAGGATGGAAGCTCTCACTTGGATGCTCTCCAGCGTGTTGGATCAGAGCTGGCAATGCATGTAGTTGCTGCAAAGCCGCTGTTCTTAACCAAGGAGCTTGTTTCTTCTGAGGCATTAGAGAGTGAGCGTGAGATTCTAAAGTCTCAGGTATGCAATCACTTCTTGTAAGATATGAGTGTGTTTTGGTGGTTTGCTCCACTTCTGATTTTAAAATATGATGTTCCATCAGGCAGAAAGTACAGGGAAATCACAGATGGCCATAGAAAAAATGGTTGAAGGCCGCTTGCGTAAATATTATGAGGAAGTTGTCCTTATGGAGCAGAAGTTTATTATCAATGATTCTCTTAACGTTAAGGTATTAGTGAATCCCTCTCAACTCACATATGCTTGTACTTGTACTCATTGCTTTCACTAGGTCAGTAGCAATGCTAATGTCTTCCTCAAATCTATGCAGAGACTGTTGAGCAATTTGTCCAAGGAAGTGGGTTCACCAGTGAAGATAGGGAACTTTTTCAGGATGGAAGTTGGAGAAGGAATTCAAAGGTAGCTGATAGTTCTTGTATCCATAATTCTGTTGTTAAGAAATGTAAGGGTTCCTTAAGTTGCAGCTTTGTCATTCAACAATGGTTCTCTTTCTCTGTACTGGTACTTATCATTCGAATTTCAATTAAAGTTGGATCAACTTAGTTGCTCGAGACTCTAGAGATGATTTAGAAAGCCACTTGTTATTACTCCCTATGAGACTATGCCTAGGCAGAATGTTTTCTCTGAGACCATGACGTACATTAGTAGTTCTGCTGAATCATAAGTAGTCTTCAACTTTCCCTATCTGACGGCAACTATGAGCTGAACTATGAACTGTTTACACTCCATTTACAGGCTTAATGCATCTGCAGATGAACCAGTGGCTCAAGCTGCGTGATTAGAGTGCGCCATCACTATTATTTGTCAGGAGAGGAGGTCTACAGTTGGAGACCTATTTTCCTTTTTTAGTTAATGAGTTATTGTCTCCTTTCCTTACAATCCGATCAACTTGATAGAATGGAAGCAAATCTGTACCATTTCCGATACATTTGATTCCCATAAATGAGTTTTGTTGAACCTGAGGATCATTCAATAAATATTTCTCTTTGAATCTCATATACTTGACTTCTGCCGAGTTGGTCACTGTGATCCAACCTTCTATCAATTGCCATTGTAGAAGGCTACAGGTTTTTCGTTAGCCTTGGGAAGTGGCAGAGCCGTCTATGTTTGCCATCCTACTATTCATGGGGAAGGGTTGGAAGATACATAGCATCATAAAGCAGCCGAGTTAGACAGACACAAAGACAGTAGCAACGAACAGGTTCTATCTTAATCCTTAACAACCATCATTTCTTACATGAAATTATAGTAGCAGTTCATTCTTTTCACAAGATGGTTACAAAGGGGATGGAAGATGAAATGATTACAGCCAAAATGGGTTTCATTCTAATGAAACTTGAGGCTAGTCAAGATATTGTTGTTGACAGGATCAGACAAGTGGTCAAGCAGATTCTGGTACGGTCCAACACCAGTCACAAGACCCTGAATAAAGTAACCCAAAACAGCCAACATGGCCAACCTGCCATTCTTCACCTCCTTCAACTTCAACTCCTTCATCGACTTCTCATCTTTCCCAAACCCTAGAGGGTTGAAGATAGGTCCTCCGGGATAAGCAGGGTCACCTGAGCCACCCAAAAACTTCTCAAATCCCAAGAAATACTGCTTCCCCATCGATCCAGGATTGTACCAGTCCTGAAGTCTCCTGTGCTCGGCGAACCCCATCAGGGCCATCTCCAGGACAAATAGAGTGTATGGGTCTGCCCAGTAGCTGTATGTTCCGGCTGGTGGGATGACCCCGGTTTGGAACCATGGGAGGGCAGTTTCAGCTGGGATCAGACCGGCTTTGCCCAATATTTCGGGGGCAATAGCACCTGCAGCTCCCAACATGGCGAACCGTCCGTTGATGATCTCGCCATAGGCTAGCCATTTCGGCTCGATGAAGCCTCCAGTGCCCTCGGGGTCTGAGAGACCCAGTGGGTCAAATCCGAAGTCACCTGGGAGGCTGCAGGGGGTAACACGGAACATTTCCCAGGTTAGTGAAGATTGGTCGCCATCTCAGTTTATATAATATGATTAAATGCATTGGTAGAAGGAGGATCTTACCTTCCGTCAAGGTAAGACAGACTCTGTTTCGATGCAAACCATAGTTGTCTGTTAGTTCCTTGCTGGAGATCAAAACATAAGAATCTAGTTAGGAAGAACAGCCCACTACCCACAAACTGAAGCAGATTAGTCAGTTCTAGCTTTTGTTTGTTTGGACTTGTCCAGAAAAGAAGAAAAACTATGTTCCAGTTGCGAAAAGTGGCACTTGAGGAGTAAGACTGTTCTGCATGATTCTATGGGGTTTTAAGTGAATTTGTCGAAGTTGATGAACAGTGAATGTTGATTGTGAATAAAACATGTTTGAGAATCATGGTTCTTTATACTTATTTTGGTTGATGTTGTCTAGTTTGTTTTAATTAGACTGTAATCTAGTATATACTTGTATTCTCAGGGAGGAGAAGACCGACTGACCTTAACAGGGGGAGTAGAAGCCGCCCTAACAACAAAGGATCCTTTCCTGGAGGACCCAAATGAAGGCTGGCCAGACCTTGATCCCAGGATTTGCCTGGCACTCTCCACCGAAGAAGTGAGGGAGGATGACACCAGAGCCTGTGTCGCCATTGTTGCCCTTTCAGAGGTAAACTAGTGTGGCAAGAAGTTGGGGGTTCCCCTGAGAAAGAAGAAAGAAGAGAATATGAGGACAGGGGAGAATAACTTAGGGCTGTTCAAGATGAAACAGGCACTACTTAGTGGCATTGAAGTCTTGGCTGGAATCAAGAGATGGCCCACCACCTCTTTCAGATTAGGTTAGGATCTGGGTATCCAACAAGAGTTGAACAGGTGGATTTGTTGCCAGGATAACTGGATATCGTCAGCATAGTCTGATTGGCAACAAGAGCTACTTCGACACTTGGCTTTCTCTCAACCATTCTAATTCGATTTGTTGCCACTTGCCACTCTCAGCTCTAAGAAAAATCTCCTCCAGAATCCAGATTGCCAATATCTAGACCTGGTAGTGATAGGCTTTTTGGGGCCTTGTACGGTAATACTATTGTTATAAGAACCGAACCGGATCAACGTCCGAGCCAGTAGAATTATCAAACTAGTTATGATAGCGGTCCGGTTCATTGCTTACAACGGCCGGCCATCGTCTTGCTCTCCATCAACCTTAACACTGCAAATTAGAGATTAGGAGACTTTAATCAACAAATGGTCAAATAAAAAAATGTTGATAGAGATTGAGATTAAGAATGACATTACCTTCGACGATGCCAAGAAAGTTGCTGAAATTGGTGTCGTGCACCGTGGCAAGGAGCTTGATTTGGGGGAGAACGGAAGGGTCGGAGTTGATGGCGGCGATGGCGGCCTGAATTGCTATTGGGACTAGAAGAGAGAGAGAGACCACGGTGGTCGGAGGGAGGAAGGGTACGAGAGAGTGGGTGGGTATTAGGCTATTAGCGTACTGCGGGTAGGTATAAAGCTAGTGAACCGGTTAGAGTTAATTCGGATTATTAAATGAGTTTATTTATTAATTTTTTTAATGGCGTGTCATGCTGACTGGGAAAAGTAATAGATTTTTGGATGGAAGGGAACAAATTGACCTTTTTGGTATTCACTCAAACTTGTTTTACTGAAACGTGCAAAATTAAAAGTTTGTTACCGTTTGTATAAAGTGAATAGGTTTGTGACCATTTATGATAATTACCCCAGATATTGCATTTACTCTCGCTTTTTGTCTGGAAAAACCCTTCCTCTGCCTTTTGAAACAAGTGACATTCCTCAGTTGCAGCTGCTTCTTGTTGAAACAAAGTAGGACTAGGGGAAACAAACAGTTTTTCCTGTATTTCTTTCAGCTTCTGCTCAGCCTCCCTTGCTCTTTTGGATATATCAGAGTAACTCTTTATTTATCACCTTTAACTTCTTTTTCGACAGCTTCAGCTTAGTGCAAACCCTGAAAAAATGATAGCCTAACACTCTTATACTCTATACTTCTTGCACAATTTCCCTCCCAAGTTCAACTGTGCAACAGATCGCCTATTTGATGTGGCATTCTTGGAAAGCAAGGAATGAAAAAGGTGTTCATGAACACCAACCCCTGGCCTCCCAATCCCTGTAGCAAAGCCTCCATCGATCTCCACTCCTGGCTGACTTACCCTAAGAGATCTGGTTCGGCTGACCACTCCCCCAGTTTGTCCATCCCACCCCCTGATCAAACTCCACCACTGCCAAGTAATTTCAAATTCACTGTGATGGGTCGTTCTTATACGTCTCCCTGGAGCCGGCTTATGGCGTCGTCATTTCGGATTGCCGTGGTCAAGTTTGTGATGAGAAGGCCGATTCCCTGTTATGTAGCTTAGCTATGAGGCTGAGACAAATGCCTTACTTGAAGGGATCACAATGGCTAAGGATCTTTTACACTCCATCACTGTTCTTTCTTATTGTAGTAGAAGGTGATCCATTTGCCGCCTAATAGTTGGCCGTGGAAAGTTGCGGCATGGTTAGATTTGATTGTTGACATGTTGAAGACCAATCATGCTACTCATGTTGCCTCCGTTCAGAGGAAACCGAACGTCAAGGCTGACTGGGTGGCAAGATCATATGCCCGTAAACAGCTCCCTACGGACTGGCTTACCATTCTTAATGTTTTAACTCCCCTCTTGTAATGGACTTTGATTTTTACCGCCTTGGCTGAAATACATACCTTTTTCCGTAAAAAAAGAGAGGATAAAAAGCCAATATTGTCTCCAAGGTGCAAATGGTCTCTCAAGTAACATGAAATCATTGAAAGAAACAACAAAGATATATAGGATAATTGCATTAAAATTTAAAATAGTGGGGCAAAATACACCTCTGTATACACAACTATCAGGTTTGTGACAAATATATCCACAACTATCGAAATACACAAAATAGCCAAGAATCGGAAGGTTGTGTGACAAATATATCCACTTCCGCCTGAAACTATAACAGCGTGTCAGACGGCGTTAAAATGACTGACGAAATGCTGAATCGATGCCATCTCACCTGCCAAATAAGCCTAAAAGCACACGAACTTTACACGTAGATGCCAACTAGGCTAGTTGAATAAAAATGAAAAAAAAAATCCCTTATTTAAACCCGTCGGGCTCTTCACCCCTTTCCCCAAACTTCAAAAATTAGGGTTCTTCTTCATTTTGAAATCAAAATCGGCACCGGCAGAGAGGACGTCGCTGCGTTCATCACCTCGCCAGCTCGTCACCGGCGGCAGTCCAGCACATTGTCAATAGACAACTTCCCGACGTTCATCACATCAATTTTCAGCAAATCCGAGTTGGGCGAGGTTGGTCACGAAATGTCAAAGCGTGTATCTTCATCTGCGATAAGCATCAACAGCAGTGGGGTGGTTCTTTGCGATCACAATGTTCCCTCCATCGTTAAAACGTCTGGTACCTCGACCAACCCAGACATGCAATTCTATGGATGCCCATATTGGCAGGTAATACATAGAATCTGATTTTCAATTCCTTTGTCACTCTTTCTGATTTTGGTATGTTGACTAGATGATTAATGGTATAGAATGTGAAGGGAAAAAAGAACTGTCGGTTTTTTAGGTGGGTCGAGAGGATTGATGATGAAAATCAACAACTCGAGGGCATAATAGTGCAGTTGGAAGAATCTTTGCACCTTGCTGAGTCCAAGGCAGAAAGGAGGAAGAAGGAGAAAAATGCGTTAATCAAAGATATGATAGCTCAAGGAAGGAGATTGAACGATGATATTCGTGCAATTCGATTCATGATAGTCATTGTGATAGTGTTGAATGTTTTATTTCTTCTTGTTTTGTGGATGAACCAAACTGGTATGTAGAAGAAATGAGGGAGAAGTTGTTTTGTGAGTGGGATTGTTTGCAATGTACCAAAGTGGACCTCTTTTGTGTGAAATGGTAGAAGACCAACATGTTTATTGTTCTGTGATGTTTGTTGAAGACAATGAAAGTAACTATTGTATTGATGTTTGTAAAGACAGTTAACGTTCCAATTGAAGCAAACTGATATGCATTCATAAGTCAAAGTCAATTACAAACTGCCTAATTAGTTAGGAGTATTAGCAGACTGATAGTAGTAATCAAGTCATATTACAAGCATCCTGATAGTAGTACATATGTCATAGCATGACTAATGTTTAAAAGTAGAACCCAACAACATGTCCTAAATTGCAAATACCAGTCTAACTTAGTCGAGTTCCAAAATATCCTCCTCTGAGGTCAGTACACGGGGCTGCCCAAAATTGAAATCGACTCATTACAACTAATTAGTTCATCATGTCTCATGTCTCAGGTTGTGTTTGGGGGGGGGGGGGGGATGACTTCCCTGAACATCTACCACTGTAGGTTGAGCCATATCCACCGCACGTCTACTTGCTCCATTAGCTGAAAAGTAACATCGAAGTTATTAGCAAATGTTAAGTCAGACACAAATCGAAATGAAAAAGGCAATCTGATCGTTCTAACTTACCCTAGCGTACTGGTTGCCACTCTCAGCTACGTAGACTCCTATTCCTCTTGCTGCTTCTCTCATATCACGTTCAATGGTTCTTCGATCACCCACATTCAGCATCACTTGCTACATAAGTAGTACACATCACAATCCACTCAGTTCTCACATTCTAGCATTATCAATTTATCAAATGGAAAGGCAAAATTATTCACAAACCTGTATTCCAGCCCCTTGATTAAGGGAACAAGTTCTAGCATTATGTGCACATGATCCACATTTGCTGCAATGGGCAACTCTGTCCTCTTTCCCGTTGCAGATGGAGGTTCTTGCGTGGCAACCCTAACTCTAGGGATGGATCTGTTCCTCTGCCAAATACCAAACAATTCAGTAGTTAAAACTTAAAACTTGTGAGAAATAGACAATCTAGTAACACTAAAAAATTGCTTGAAAGGGCCACTCATAGTGTTAGGTGCCGCATCAACAGTGGGAGCTTTGCAAGTTCTTGCATTGTGGCCCTCTCCACCACACTTCCCACAATGGATTATAGTGGGGAGCATTAGTAAACGGTTCACCACCATCCTCATCGGACAAATTACCCCTGACATGATCTGAATCTTAAGAAAGACGATAGCTGGAATGTTGGGAAGTCTCTCTCCTGACTTCATGTGATGGAGGCTCTTCATTGTTCGTGCCTGCTTGCTCAGGTCTCGTACTAACATGGTCTGCCTCAACATCACCAGCTTCGGCATCACCAACTTCATCATCTCCAGCTTCATCATCTCCTTCATTCTCACTATCCTCTTCTTCAAACTCATCTAACTGCTCAACCTCCTCCCCATGATAATCAGACCTGACCTTCACCTTCCTTTTTTCATCTCCCCGTATGCCCTTAGATTGCCCCTTGCTGCATGTTACTCATCATCTGAAGTGTCTGCATCGTCGGAGTCGTAGACGTGGAAGACTTCTCTAGCCACAGATTGAGCCCCATCCTCTGCTACAAAGCTATCAGGTGAGTCTGCTAATTGTCCTGGATCGTTCTCTCCCACCAGTTCTTCCCACGAGTGACCATCTGAACATAAACATGACTAACAATATCATGGACAAATTACCATTGCCTATTAACCTACTGTTTTTATATTTTATTACTCACTACCATCCAAATAAACAACATCCACAGAAACCATTATTCTATGATGAGGATTTCACAACCCAAGAATGTAAATAGGATTATACCCAGGAGAAGGAGGTTCTCACCGTCAGATTAAGGGGCAAAATCGCGACAACCAGACTTCCACAGAAAGCAGTGGTCCCTTCTCGATATTGCTCTGTCGCTTTCCCACCTTTAAAGAAGCACCAAATCACAAAAAGGAGACAATCCACTATAAGAACCTTACCATCCAAAATCAAAAGTCACAACAAGATTCTTTGAAGAGTATGTGAAATCGTCTGGACTACGGTCGTTCTGGGTATCACCATGGCGCTGGTTGCATGGAAGCCGTTGGAGTAAAAAGGAGGCGATTGGTTGGGGACATCTTCAGGAATCGAAATATGGAGTTGGGGTTGGGTTATTTGGGGGTCGAGGCGTCGATCAGAGGAGGATCGGTGGTTATCGGGCGAGGATGGTGGATTTTTTAGCCCAGTTGTCCGTCGTGGTCGAAAACGGAGAGACGAAGGCAATGCGAGAAGACGGTTCGAAGATGAGAAATGGAAGGCCAGTACTCGTTTTGTGTTATTTAGGGTTTTTTTTTTCTCTTTTAATCCACGTCAGTCAGTGGGGTCAGAAACACGCCAAATAAGCATCCACCGTCAGTCCAGTCATCCCGTTAACTGACGGAGTGAACGAAAATGACTATTTCGTATATTTCGATAGATGTGGATATATTTGTCACAAATCTGATAATTGTGGATATGGAAGTGTATTTTGCCAAATAGTGGGAAATGAATTTTGTTTCATGAACATTGCTCGATTCTCGATGGAACAGTGCAAAACCCTTGCAATTGTGATTGCGATTCTAGTAGCCTAGTCCCGTGGCCACTAAGACTTCTATTTAATCCGGTTCAATTGAATCGCAAAAAATATTTTGTGTGAATTTGGATATGAAATACTTTCCAAACGTATAAGGGTTTGATTTACAGACTCTCTTAAAGATATCTATAGGCTTATGGGTAGAAGAAAAACAAACTTTAGAGAGAAAAAAATGACTCGATCGAGATTTCACAAACACATCATAGAAATTTCAAGGCTAATATAATAGAGACTTTAGTTCTCTTGAGGAGAAAGAAGTGAGGGTGTATAGGGACAGAGAAAGCCTAGGCTAGGGATGGCAAAAATATCCGTAACCGTAGATATCCACCCGAATCCGACGTAATCGGGTAGGGTAAAATCCGAACCCGAAGCATTTTTCGTGGGTACGGGTAAAACCCGAACCCGAATATTGCAGGTAAAGGGTGGGCATGGTTATCTCACTATCCAACCCGAACCCGCCCGATTATACACATGCATATGTATTTTGTCTAGAAATAATCATTATTTTACCTAGAATATTTTATATTTAGCATATAAATATAATATTTTCATGAAATTATGTTGTTTTAATTAATTTTTGTCATTCTAGTGAATTACTGTCGTACTTTTCCTCTTACGTAATGTGAATATACGTGTGAATGTTAACATATTGGTTGGAATTATAAGGAGAAATTATTATCCATGGATAACCGTGGATACCCGAAACCCGAACGGGTATGGGCATGGTTTTGACTTTCTACCCGTTTCTCGTGTGGGTACGGATATGGGTAAAACCCGAACTACATTGAGTAGGGTAACGGATATGCACTATCCGCCCCCGACCCGACCCGACCCATTGCCATCCCTAGCCTAGGCTCCAAATGATGCTCCTTATTCAATATTAAAGGTGGATCTACGAGTGAATGATGACTTACGTGGGTTTATCAAAGAGAAAAAGGGTAAGTACTGACCAAAAGAGCATATAAAGGGTCGAGAGAGGTGGTGTAATTGTGGGTTGGGGCTAAATCGAATACAAGGGAAATCTACAGGGACCTCAAAAGTCAAAATACAATTAACGTCCGCAAGGGAAATGATTGGTCCAAGCGAGCGCGAGCGTTAGAAAAGGGAGCCGCGGACGGAAAGCTGGAGAAGAAGCGAAGTCGTTTGGATCCGTCCATTCTCTCTTTCTTCCGGCGGTGGCGGCGGTAGACTCTCCGACTAGGGACGACCTAAGGGAAGATAGGGGGTTGAAACCAAGGCGCCGATAGATAGATACAGACAGGATGCTCGAAAACCCTACGCCTGCAGCAACTCCCGCCGATTCCTCCGCCACCGTCAAGAGATATGCTCCTCCCAATCAAAGGCTCGTCGTTCTCGCCTTCTCAGCCTTGCTAAATTTCCCGATTTAAGATTGACCTTTCTATCGAAAGTGGTGGTGACCCTTATGGTCTGTCTGCTGCTGCGTTGAATTTTTGCAGGAACCGGTCTCTCAACAGGCGCAAATCAGGAGGTCAGCTTTTACTGTTCACATTTTAATCTTGCAATGGTGGCTATCTGTCGTGCGCCCTTTTCTTCTTTTGCCCTTCTTTGGATTTGGTTTCAATCGGGTTCGGTGGTTTTTGCTTTACATTTCTGAAATGACAGCAGGGATTCAGGAAATGATAGTAAATAGGATAATGCTTTGGTAGATTGTCAAGCATGGTGTCGGGTTACTAGGAAAGTTGCAAACTGTATTTGCCAGCTTGCCAAACTCAGAAGATATAATGTATGCACAATTCGCAGGAGAATGGTGCATAAATTGCTGAACAGTGAACTCAATTATGCGGGTGAATGGTATGCCTAAGTTCTGCATGGAAATTGTCTTGCTAGTACTTCTAGCCTTCTGTGATTAGCTGCTTTTTTTTGGTAGGATTAAGGATTTGCATAGTTGTTAAATGGCTGGTTTTCAGGTCTGTTCATCTTCGTTGACTGATTTGTTCCTTGCCTCATCGATAACCTTTATTGCTTAATGGAGGACCCTTTTGCATTCAGCGCTGTCTCATTACTGTTCCAAGCTTTGCTAGATCTATGGATAACAGTATATGATTTGATCAGGTAGATCTAGTTGGATATGTTTGCCAGTTGGTAACAGGTGTAATGAACTCTAGATTGGGTGATATGCAGTGAATCTCATCACTTAACCCTTCTTGGGTAAACTATGGCAAGGCTAAGATTATACTATAATTTTATTTGAAAATGTATAAGATGGTGCTGTATGATGGTATTGGTTAAAAATTAAGTTTTCCCTCATCGCAGATCGAATTGACCGCTTTAGCAGTTTTTATGGAAATGATGGAGACAAGATTCTAACACATACCTCTTCAAGAAATATCCTGGGCGTAGATCGTGGGGATGCTGTAATTCAAACACTTCAGAATGAAAACTCACAGCGTGCTTTAGTAGCTTTAGAAGGGTGCTGTCACAGTGATGCTTCTCAGCTGTTAAATGATCGTAAGTTCTACATGCGACCTATTGAATAATATGTATCCTGCTCCTTTTGTTTAATCATTTGAGTTTATGTTAGTGTACCACAGTGTGTTGCCACATCCATCTTTAATGTGTTAACTTGATCTGCTCAGACATTTTACTTGATTTTCTGTCAATTAGCAAATAGATTCCTTATCCTGTTTATACCAAATAAACATAATAGTGGTTTTGGTTTTAGAAGTAACATAGTTGTTTTTTTTTTCCACCCATCTCTTTGATCTGTAGTTTCTGTCTGGAACTTATTATCAAACTGTTCAGTTCCATTGGTATCTTCAAGAGTTACTTTAACGTGAATGTTTGATACCTAAGAACGGTTGGCTTCTGGGATATCAAAATAAGATAGAATTGGAACACTAATCAAAGTAAACGAGATTGGTGTACGTACTGCATATAGTTTCTGTCTTGCTTCTAGTTGGGTTTTGAAAAGCTTGATCCCATGTTCTGGAAGAGGAATGTTCCAGAATATTGGGATCGATTTTGTGTGGAGCAAGCTTTCTGTTTTAGTTTATAGTATGCTGCATTTGTTGTAGCACCTGTATTCTGTGGTATTCATGCCATCAGATCAGTCTAACCATTATTTGTTTAACTGCAGGTTGGGCAACAGTGATGCATATCTACAATGATCCCACTATAGATTTATCTGGTCAGTAGAGAATCACTCTGACAGTTTGATCCAATATGTCATTTACCTAGTCTTTTCTTGCTTAAACAACTAGTCAATTTCTTTTGAAGATCTATTTTTAACTGCGGCTCTCATGTCGAACTACCCATGTAACTCAATGCTGTTGGTGTTGCTTAATACTGGATTTTTCGCTCTGAGCATTCTTCAGTCCTTTCTTCTCCCCTTATATCTTATTTCAATATTATGGAGAATGGAGTTACTCTTTCTTTGTTTTGAGGTATGTTATCGGATTTCATGGAAGTGATTATAAATGCTTCAATGTGTATCGGTTAATGTTGTCTGAACTGAAGGAGTCATCAGATTCTGTTCAACGTGTATTTGCTTTCAATTGAGTTTGTAGGCTACTCTGTTCTAAAATCCCAGTTCAAAGACTGTTACTTTATGACTCCTATAACTAAAATATCGATTAAAATTTCATCCACTTATGTTGTAGAAAATAAGCTTATTCTTTTTTTATCAATGTGCTGGTCCTGTACCCCTGGCTTGATGAATAACTGTGCTCTAGTTCCCTTTCCAGAAAGACCGGTTCTCTACTCAGGTGGTGTATCGGCATGGGGGCAGTTTAAACTTCCACATCAGGTAAAAAATAACTCCCAGCATGGAGCCTCTCTCTCTCTCTCTCTCTCTCTCTCTCTCTCTCTCTCTTGCTAATGAAGCGTGACGTGAATTTGGCTTTGCAGATGATGGCTACAGCAAACAGTGCAGGATCTTCCGGTTCCCAGATGGACTTCTTAAGTGAACTTCGCCGAGCCATGCACAATGCCAATACTGGTTCTAACAGCTAAGATTATCTATTCTAATTGAGTGAATCCCTTGTGACCCAGCTATGTACCTGTCTTATATACTTTGTAGATTCTCTTGTGGGTCAAGTTATATAGAAAAAATAGTGATGGATGGATGCTTCAGAACTGTGGCTGGTTTGGTGTAGACATGCTCCATGCAGAACCATGTTAATGCCCCATGTTATGTTATTTATGTGAGCAGAACGAGTTCCATCTGTATTCGATTGAGCCCTGGCACTTTGTTTGCATAGCTGATATGGTTGCCCTAATACAGCTGGTGGAACTATTAAATTACCTTAGAAGAGAAGGGTAGTGAGTAAAGATCCTTTCATTCATTGGCAGGTTTGCATCTATATTACATGATTCCGATGGATGAATGGCATTTGCATCTATTCTTTCCAGACAGGAATGATTCCTTGAGCTGCCAAACGCTTTTCCACCCAAAACACAACATGTCTTGCTGTGATTTTCTTCTCGTCAATCAGAAATGGCTCAACAGTGCTGGCTCCTTGGCCATAAGAGGAGATGGAAAACCCCCTTGCACCTGCAACAAGTAGGAATGAGTATCAAGTTGGGCTTGTGTTGTTCAAGGAAACAAGAGGAATTTGTTCATATACAAACTTAAATAGGAGGAGAAAAGGTTACCTGTGAGGATTCCGTCGGGGAAAAAGGCCCAGAAAGAATATGGAATGCTCTTATTAACAAATGAACCTTCCAACTGCAACAGAGAGTTAACCAATAGACTAAAAGTTAACCAAATTCTGATCCAGTGAATTTAGTTATCCATAAACAGTAGTAGGGTTGAAAGTTACTGTGTTGTCTTGGAAGGATAGTTGAAGTTCAGAGATGTCATCTTGGACTTCAAGTGTTGATTTCAATGAAGGGATCACATCCTCTTCCATCATCTGAGGCAATGGCTTTACAGGAGCTTTAGCTGCTGGTTTTGGCTTTGGCTTGGCTGGAGCTGCTTCTTCTTTAACTGGTTTCACTTCCTTCTTCATACCTTCAGCAACTAATCAAGGAAGCCACAAGCCAAAGTAAAATGGATGAACCCTTTGAATTGAAACATTACTGCTTATTGGGGGCTTCAGAATTTGTGGCAGTAAACTTTGGCTTTACCTGTGGAAGAAGTAGAAGTGGATGACTCTTGCACAGCAGAGCAGCAGGTGATGATGGTTGTTCTTCTCACTGTCATCAACTTGCTAACCATCGGCTGAACAAACTTCAACACATCATCCCAGTGAATTTCGAAAACCAAAACAACATGATTGTATAGTTGAAACTTACATACCACTGGAATGATGGAGCAAGATGAAGAAGTGGTTCTGGTATTCGTCATGAAGGACGATGGAGATGAAGGGAAGCTCGAAATCCCCATTGCTCTGCCTGCACTTGCCATGCTATGGACCGAATTCTATAGCCCGGAATGAAGCTGTAGAGGATGCCTGATTTCTTGTATACTTACTTTCTTCTTTCTTCAATTAAGGCTTTCACAATTCATATGAGCAGGGTGAAAGAGAGCTGATTGCAGAAGCTGGAAGAGAGGCAGTGAAGGAATGTAGAGAAAGAAAGAGGGTCTTCTAATCCACAACCTGCTAGTTACAATATATGCCACTGATTTCCTTTTGTGTATTACTGCCCAAAATTGTGGGTACCTTTAGGCTTGGAGGGAGAAAAAGAATAAAAATTTCAAAGCCTTCAGTGGTCCACCATATGCTGCCCATCAGGGTCACTCAACCTTTGTCCCTTTGCTTTGTATCGCAAACCACCACTTGGCTCCAAACCTTCTACTTGCATTACAACACAACATGGCAGTGGATTAAGGATAAATTTCAACAGGATACGTACTCGGTATAGCAATTATCACTCTCATTACAATGCTATAAAAAATTACCCTTCAAAACTACCCATATTTGCCATCAACTCCCAAAATAAACTTACAAGGTGTACTGAAGAGTACAAAGTAACCCCAAGAGAATCAGCAATGAATGCTACTGCTGAGAACATACATTTCAAATCGTCGAGCATGAAATGAAGCCTCTCCCAAGCCCCTCGGCTGAGAACTCGAAAGCTTGAATCAAAATGCTCAGTTGGCTGTCTATGAGTCACATAGTTTCATGGTCACCTTTGTTTACTGACCTCTGCTACAACAGTGTTGCTTGTGGTCATCACTATTCTTGAAGGGCAGTTGCACAAGTTCACATACACTGCTTCTAAAGGACGTAAAGCTTTATCATCGTCCCTCAACAAAGCATGGACCAAGACCACTAGCAATTGTACTCAAAACGTAAGAGGGACCACTAGTTTGGTGTCATTTTCTTGGCTTCTTCAACTTCCTTTCTGTTGGGGAATTCATGGTGATCTTACTTTGCTTGAACTTCTGAACCATCAAGTAGACCTGCACTCAAGAACATAAGTACCAGGAAGTTCACCCAGAAGTCATAACTCGTGAACATATGCTCATGCCTTTGTGGTTTCAAATGGCATACTTGTTAATTACCTTCTTCACTCCAGTTGTCAATCCCAAACCTGAAAGAGCCTTACTATCCACACACTTCCAGGAAACTTCTTTCTTTTGCTCAGGAAGTATGTCAGACATCTCACCTTCACATTAGAGTAACAGAATTATCAGAAAAGAGAAATTTGCAGCAACCAAGTGAAGAAAGTTTGGAGCTTTGAACTTAATTAGGCAAGATATTCGGACCTGTAAGCTGTATAACTAACAACTCCACGTAAACCTTCAGACGAATGTGACTGAAAATATGAACAAATTCTCCTACATCTTCCCTTTCAATAACCTTATAACTCCTTTTTGGATCAAGTCCAAATGATTTCTTCAGAAATGGATCCGTGACTTCTCTCCTTCTTATCAAGTCAGCTTCTTTGTCCATTAATACAGATGGAAACTCCCAGAGACCAGCAAGCAATCCTTCCTCTGGCCTCTTCACAAGAAGAAAATGACTACCAGAAACTTCCTTCTTTCTTGTTTCCTGGTAGCCTAATATCTCCACAACACAAACAGCAGAATACTCATTTCTTGGTTTTGCCTTCATGACCTTGGTGGGGTAATCTGTTACTAGGATTGAATTGTCCTGCTTCGAGGTTGTAAGAGCTCTGCAATGGCTAGAAACAGGACAGGAAGAACAGGTAGGGTTCAATGGGGTGCAGACAGTTGCACCAAGTTCCATGAGGGACTGGTTGAAGTCTCCAGGATGATGAACATCCACTAGTTGAGCTGCTAGCTTCCTGGTTCAATACGAAGTTGCATGAGAAAGTCGGATAGAAATGCATGCCTTCTCAACATACACCCGCTCTAACAATCACTAGTTTCACATGGTCTTTCGTAATAGGAAAGACAAGTAGAGAAACAAACAGAGAAATCCTAACCAAAAGGTCTTCACCGTTGCTGCATCCTTGGGATTTGCGGAAATTGCTCTCAACCTAGCAAGCACCCTTATCACATTGCCATCAACTACAGGCACAACCTGAAATTACGTATTTAAGAAAATGCCTTCACTTTCATAAACATAACAAAGAAATAAAACAAATGCAATAAAACTCACTTCATTGAATGCTATAGAGGCAATAGCACCAGCAGTGTAGTTTCCTATCCCCGAAACCTTCCTCAGGGAAGCAACTGTGCTGGGAAATCCATCTCCTTCATCAACAATCATCTTGGCTCCCTAACAAGTAACCCCAAATTTGAGCCATAAATTCCTCTTCCTTGGCACACCAGCAAATTCTCAACTATGAACCATGATACAAACTTCTACCGACAAGAGAAGGACATTGAGAGCAAGAAAACAAAAGGATCCACAAAAGCTCTCATCTTTCATATCAGCACAATAAAGTCTGCTCATTTCAAGAGCAAACCTTGAGTTGCTAATAAAATGCCTAGCCAAAAGACAGCCATTTTAGCAGCGGGGGAAAAACCAGTGAAGCAACAAGCTTACCTCCAGTAGAAACCGTGCCCGCCTATAATAACCGAGACCCGCCCACATCTCATTAACCTCCTGCACAAGCAATTCACAAATCGAATTGTCCTTTCACCATAACGGGGAGATTCTCAAACCAATGTATCACAAACACCACCCCCCCTAAATTCCAACACTTTACCTCGAGAGAAGCCTGAGCTAGAAGCTCAACCGTAGGCCACTTAGCCATCCACCGATTATAGTAATCAACCACCGTCTGAACTCTAGTCTGCTGCAGCATCACTTCAGAAACCCAAACCCCATAAGCTCTCTTCTCCTTCTCTTCTTCCCCAACAATTTCTTCCGCCTCTTTCCTTCTCCATGGAAGCTTCCTGTGATTACAATCGTACCACTCCAGCATTGATTCCCTGATTTCCTGGGTTTCTCCTTCGCTGAATAGGTCTTCGATATCTGCTACTGCCACGCCTTTTTGCTCTTCTTCTCTTGCAACTTCAGCGGCTGGAAGGTCATTTCTCCTTCTTCCCTTCATCACTTTTTTAGGTTTAGAGGTTTGTGGGTTTTTGGAAAAGATTGCTTCTTTGGTTGCTGGCAATGGCGCCATGAACGTCTGCGAAGTGGGAATTTCGAATCCGCTGAATTGGCAGACGGCCAAGTCGCATACCCGCATTCCTCTGGTGTCCCTCCAGTTTTGGAATGTATGGGAATAAAGGCATCCATGGATTCAAACGGCCTGTCAAATGAGCCTGGATGCGGAAATTCAATTGGACTGGAAATACTCTTTGGGCCGTTAAAGCAGGCTTGATTACCAAGGAAGAATTTTGGGCACTTGAGAAAGTGTCATTCTCCATCGATTGTCAAACCGGTTTATGCCAGTGTGTCGGTTTAGCAAGTGGAATGGTTCAACCGGTGACATATACCGGTTTGTTCCGGTTCATGCCGGTCAATATTACAAATAAAATTATAAATACTCATATTTAAACATGACATTTAACGTCAATACCTAAACATTTATATTTGAATCCAACAAATAACATCAATATTTAACTTTTATACTCATAAAATAAATAATAAAATAATTTTTATCAATTAAATTCTCTAAAATAAGATTATTTTACTTAGAGATTCGTATATCGATCATGTCGGTCATACCATTGATGTCACGCCGGTTTTATGATCGGTACCTGTTGAACCCGGTACAACCGGTGGCACGCCGGCCGGCGTGACAACCATGTTCTCCATTGTCAAATAGGCTTTTTTTTATTAATATTTTCGAGTGGGGAGAAGCTAGAGTGCTACTTCTTAGGAATTAACACCGTGCTAACTACTCTAATTATTATTCATTTTTTTTAAATTAAATCTAACGGTGGTTGGTAATGAAGGACTTATTTAGTATTTTAAAAAATCTAAAATAATAATTTAATTAAAATACAATTTGTAGTTTCTCTCTCCTAAGAGCATCCACATCAATGTAATTGCAAAGTCAATTGTATATGTATTTTTTTTATGACACCTCATAATTTTTGCAATCCAACTAATTTAAATTTTATTGTTGCTACATCAATGTTATTTCTTTGCAATTGCATGTAAAATAAATAATGGTTTTTCTCCAATATATTTTCGGATATTTAAATAACATTAAGAAAAAGAAAACAAGAAAAACTCTGCCATTAATCTACGTGTCATTGCATTTAGGCTTTCATAATATGAAAGCTTGCAAAATTGAATAACTTCCCACATCAGTGAAATTGCGTTTGCAATTGCAAAGCTCCCATCCACGTCATGATGCAATTGGAAAAAACTATGCGATGGAGATGCTCTTATTAGCTATGTTTCACCGAATAACTACCACTAAGTTCACTATTACTTATATATAAGTAATATTTTGGGCAGTTTGTAGTAGCGATTTGGTGATTTTTAGTAGTGATTTTATTTTTATATTAGTAGTCTTTTTGTGAGTAATAGTAGTGATCTTATATGTTTTAATAGTATTTAAAAAAACTGCAACAAGTAAATTGCTACTAATAATTCACAAAAATCAATAATTACAATAAGAAAAACTACTTAAAAATACATAAAAATATCTACATAAAATCACGACTAGACAAATCACTACTAATCAAAGTAAATACAAACAATGTCACTACTACATCAAACATATAATCACTACTACATCAAAGATCTATATTTCTACAACAAAAGAATGGGGCTTGCTAAACATCGCCCTATGCTTACTTTGATCGCCCTAATTTTGCACATGAAATTACTTCTGTATCCTTCTTTATTTTTAAGAAAAATAAAAATTAATTTTAGCCTTCGACCACGTTCTTATTTGCAATTACCTGTACACGGCCTTTCCCGCAATCCGCGTCGTCTTCCTCCAGTGTTCCTCAGCGCCGGCTCGCCTCTGAGGCTTTAGGAAAAGCGCTCTCTCTCCACTTCTTCTGCGATCGTCACTAATCCTTTAATCCAATAATGATGAACATTCGTCATAGCCATCTGATCCCCTGAAACTTGGAAGCAAAGAGTAACATTGAATATATAAGGAAAGGGAAACAACAATTTCAGTCATTAATTGACCTTGAAATTATATCTGTTTCGAGGAGGAGCTATCAGTGAACAAGCGTCGGTTTTTGGCATTGCTATTCGTCGCCCTAAAACACCTTATTCGTCGCCCTAAATTTTATTAAAATGACTCAAATAGCCTTGTCTTCTTCTTCCTCCTTATTGCCTTCAACTGAGTCTCTTCTCTCTTTCTCATCGTTGAGACAGATCAGGAACCCGTCCCAAGCTCGACGGAGACAGAGTTTCAACATGTCTGGAAACAGAGGAAAAAAACTAACCCTAAAACCTTCTTCCTCCTTCGTGTCCTTCCTCTAGCTTGGTACCAATAGTAAAATCCGGCAGCAGCAGTAGGGAAGCGGCGGTGGTCGGTTGAGGTGGGCAGTGGGCCGGAGAGAAGAATACTCAGCAGTAGGACTGAGGGACGGTGGCCTCCTTCTTCCGCCTTCGTTTACCCTTTCTCCCTTGCTTTCAATTATTCCCAAAATTCTTAATTACTTTTCGACCTAGAATTATTCCAATAATTGCCGAGTTCAGAATCATCACCATCATTAGAAGAAGAAACACGTGCAAGGGAACTTGAGAAACAGGTTCCTACTTATATTTTTTTTTCATTTTTGGAATTTAGTCCTTCATATATAATCTTCTTCCTACTGCGCTGCTGCTTGGGATCGTCCAACAATAGAAGCAGAGAACCGATGACGATCGGGGGGAATTGGGCGGCTGCCTAAAGAAGAATCCGATGACAGCAGCGCCCGCAGGACAGACTAGCTCGGCGGGCTGGGCAAGGTAAGGGATTGTTTGTTTTGGTTAAAATGGGACCGGAGGGTGAGAGTGTCAATTTGGTATATTTTAGGGCGATAAATTTAAATTTTAGGGCGACGAATAGCAATTCAGGTTTTATTGGCTAAATTACGTGTTTGGTCACTCAAATTACATAAATCTTTCATGTTTGCCACACGAATTACTTTTCTTTCTTATTGACCACTAACTTTATGCATCCTTCCATCGTTAGTCACCGGCCGTCAGTCTCCGATAACTCCGTCAGTTTTTTATGACATGACAAACAAAATTGCTGACTAGACCGTTATCTTGATGACATGTCAATTTAAAAGAAAATTATAAAAAAAATAATTTACCCTTCATCCTTAGCGTTAGAGCCTCCAACTCAACCGCCGTCGTCCTCTCCAAGCCCCCTGCCGACTGTCATTCCATCCCCGATTTCTGTCTCCCGTCTCCCAGACCATTCCTTCCTTCTCCAACCATTATACATACCGTTAATTTCTTAATGTTGTGACAATTCCAAATAATCTAACCCTCACGATTGATCATGTTTGGCAAATTGAAATCTTAGGGATTTTATTGCCCATTATCAATTTTATCTTTCCGGTGAAAGGAAGTTGACTACAAAATGGAACCCGCAACTAGTTTTTGAACCAGAACGTGACGGAGCGGGGCGAAGAAACTGGTGCGGATGGTTGGGGGCGAAGAGTCGGGCTATTGATGCGGAATAACAGCGGCGACACCACCAAATCCATAGTCGGAATGGCGGTTGCGCTTGGGATCTTGCTCGGTTGCGCCTCTGCTTTCTTCTCGGTGTACCAGCTGTAGAATGTAACTTCACTCTGTTTCCTCCTTGCTCTCTAGTCTAGCCGTCGAGTGCAAGGGTTTTTACGAGCTGGGAGAATTTTGGTCGAGCAGCAGGGAGAAAGAAGTAGAGAGCTCTAGCAAATTTTCTCCTTCTTGCATACAACCAGCTACTACGGATGCTTGAGAACCAGATCCGTTTGTTTTTCATTGACGGCGGGGAGAAGAGAGGAGGGGAAGGCGAAGCAGATCTGTTGGTATGGCTTCCGTGGGGGAGTCCTTTTGTTTGGTTTGTTTGTTTCTTGTTTGGCGGAGGGAGGAAGTTAGATTGGGGAAGATTGTTTGGCGGAAGATGGGCAACGCGAAGAAGACGAAGGTGGGGCCACTTCTTTGTTTTATTTTTAACTCATTATTATTTTTATTCTTTTAATTGACATATTATCAAGTTAACGATCCAGTCAACAATTATGTTTGCCACGTCATCAAAAAATTAACGGAGTTAACGGAGTCTAACGGAGACTAATAGCTGGTGACTAACGGTGAAAGAATTCATAAAGTTAGTGGCCAATAAGAAAGAAAAGTAATTCGGGTGGCAAACATGAAACATTTATGTAATTTGAGTGACCAAACGTATAATTTAGCCGTTTTTTTATTATTGGAACTTTTTTTTAATAATGATATTATTGGAACTTATGGTCGGTCCCTGGCCACCCAAACACATCCCGAAGTCTGGGTTCAATTTATTAGTCTTCAAAATCATAACTCGCTACTGATATTCTCCTCCTCTTTGTAGGCTGGGTATTAACTTTTAACAAGTACAGTTCCTATACCCTCTCTCTGATGGTGTGGTGATCATGTGAAGAAGAGAGATTATTAGCTTTCCCTCCGTCTTCTTAATGGAATAACCCTTACAGGCCAAAATCTCTTACGCTCCCCCATCATCCCCATCAGTATATTCTCATCCCCATCGGTATATTCTCCACCAGATAAGTACTAAGCAGCAATAGCCTCTAAAACGCCACCGCCTCACCTCCATCCTGGCGGTCGGGACCTTAACCCGATATGCGGCCGGGAATCATCCTCGTCAATCTATTTTTCTCCCTATTGCATTGATTTTGTTTTTTATTTCATAAAGGATAGTTAAGTAATTTCAATTTTTAATTAGGGCGATTATAGTAAAATTAGGGCGACGTTTAACCATCCAGAAAAAGAAGGAGGAGACCTATAACAAATCTGCTTGTCAGTTTCCATCCCAAGTACGCCTCACATTTATTCTCAAACCCATTTGTCGTCCAGCTAGAGGCTCTGGAGTCTGGACCCAACGATGAGTGTGACATGCACCTCTCTGCAATCTAAGTCGTACTTATCCCGCCATCCCCATCGACGACGATCTAAGAGGATGAACGATTAGCAAGATCCGGGTTCGGATTTGTTCGACATTGACTCCAGATCTGTCGTACCATCCAATGGTGGTGAAGGATAACAGCAGAGGGGAACCAGATCGCTTGCACTTCGGGACGTCGACGATCCTCTCTTCATGAAACTCTCCCTCCGTTTTGCTCCGCTATCCCTCGCCGGTAGATAACAGCAGCGACCTCGACCTCCATTCTAGATCTACAATCTTGGTAGTAGCAGGGAGCGGTTTGCGGTAGAGAGAGATGGGAGGTAGAGAGTCATTTTCTTGTAGAGGGAATTGTGACAGAGATGGCGAGGTGAAAGGACGGTAGATAGACGGCGAGAGTTTCTTTTATAATTAGGGTTTAGGAGAACTAATGAATACACTTACTAAAATAACCTCCATTTAATTTTGACTCTTATATTGATATTTTAATCCAATGATTAGAGAATTGGTTAGTACCGTGCTAACCCTTTAATCAGTTAGCATCTAATCTCATCCTTTCCGAGTGATATCAAGAAATCAAGCCAAGCGCTACTTTCAGGCTTTACTTACATAATTATCGGCTGTTAGTCATCGCTCTGTGAAGGAGTGGGCGAATAAACATCCGGCAAAGGCACAGCTAGCGCACGGGAGGTGACACCAACCACACTCCTGAATATAGCACTCTCGTCGATCCACCACAAAGGAAGGAAAGAAAGGGGGTCCACCAGCGGATTTTCCACGTGCAAATCGAAATGCGGTCCGGTTCGAACATATCCTCTTTCACTTTTTCGTTATTTCGTAATCCCCAGGGTTCTGGCATTGATAGCGATTGATCGAATTCCTGCTAGCCTTATCGACGTCTGGTCTTAGAAAGTAGAGACGTCAGCAGCAAGGAAGAAAAAAGATCGGACAAGAGAGAAAGATCGATGCATCTAAGTCGGTCAATGCTATGATTGAGGAAGTAGAGACCAGGACAGAGGAAGCCGGCCCATCCAAGAAGGCTCACTACTCAATTCGAAGGTGACACCCCTTGCTGTCTTTACGAAGATTTCCCTTCTTTGCTTCTTTTGTTTGAAATAGGACCGGACGATTTATGTTATGTGAAATTGATGAAAACCCTCCAAGTGATACCCTAGTGAAGCCCCCCAATAAAGTCAAAAGACTCTTAACTCTAGGAGAGACAACACCAGTGCTTTACGCGCCACTCTATGGGCAACACTGTTGGCGTCTCTATGAACCACGCTAAACTCTATACAAACCGGCAAAGAGTCTAGGATCTGATGACACTCCCGGAGCACCGGGCCTCCAAAAGAATCTTCTAGGACACCTTGATGAACTAGTTGACCACCTCGGGACCACCTTTCACTATCACGTGAGTCAAGGATCTTGAGGCGACGAAGATGATAACATCTTTTACTAATAGGAGCTTTGCCAACACCACATGCTCATCTGACCCACGGACAGCGAGACCAAACGAGCACCTTGAGTCACAGACAGTTGCTTCAAAGTTGATCTTCAAATAGTCATCTGGTGGAGGCTACCAAGTGGCTGGAGGATGATTGGGAAGGAGCGATCTGGGGGCAGGGAAGGGGGTGATTATTGGGCTTTGTTTCTAGCTAATAAATCCATATTTTTTCTGCACGCTCGCGTAAAATCTCTCGATGACATGCAACACGTGCCAACAAGCTACTGGCCTGTCAGCTAGCAAGTGAAGACAAACAAGCCTGAGAGCTCTAGGGATTCGCCTGGCACAGGATGAGCATCTGTATTCTACGGCCAACTCCGATAACAGTGGAATAAATTATCAATCAACAATACCCACGTAGCTGAAAGAGAGTGAGGTAGTTGCAGTGGTGTTTTAGGTGGAATTTCGCGTGATTAATGCACCCTGACTTTAAGAAAACAAAAAAAGATGTTACTCGGTTACACCTCTTCAAACACTGTTTGAACGATGGTGTTCGATGCATACATCAAAGGATCTAGTTACTGTTACCTCTACTCCTATGGAGATTCCCTGAGAGCTCCATAACTACTAACTACAACTAACAGAGAAGCCTCGTTGGAGGGTCCTTGGTGCTACTACTACGACTACAATTCTAGAGAGAGAAAGATAAAATATGACGAGACTTGTTGTGGTTTTATTTGTCTGTCCATCCTTCAGAGTCTTGCTGCGAGTTTTGTTGTGCCTCGTCCTCTAACCGCATTCTCTCTCTCTTCCCGAAAATTAGCTCCACTTAGAATCCAGTAACTCCTCCGAGCGTCATTTGCAAGTCAGCTACTACTTTTGATAACCACCTATGACACATCATCATGTCCATGGACAATCAACTCTATGTACCATGGATGAACAATTATATCTATATAGTCACCATACACCAAATAACTTGGATGGTGTCCATGTTGTTGGATGACCTCATCCACTTTGAGTTTGGATGTTGTCCATTATATTTCGGATGGTGTCCCTGATCTTGGATGATACCATCCATCATAGGGTTTGGATGGTGTCCATGATGCTGGACACTACCATCCATATTGGGAATTGGATGGTATCCATGATGTTGGACACTACCATCTATTATGGAATTTGGATGGTATTCATGATGTTGGACACTACCATCCATTATGGAATTTAGATGGTATCTATGATGTTGGACACTACCATCCATAATGGGACTTGGATGGTATCCATGATGTTGGACACTACCATCCATCAAACCTATGACCCGACTAGATAAATGAATCATACATGTACACATGAAATAACTACTTAAAGTGGCCAACATGTTCATACATGTGATAATTAATGAAAATTATTTTGGTGTAAACAAATGCCCCCTACAATTTAGTTCATAAGAAATTATGAACTAAGTTGTTGACACCAATTGCTCCATAGACCAAACCACACAAATCAACCAGTGGCCTGCACAACCCCCGATCACTTGAAGAGTCCCCTTCTTTCATGGCCAAGTTGCACATGACAGTAATTTATCTCATTTCCAACTCTTACTCGGCCAAAATAATATATTTTTTTGTATTAGGCTTATGAGAAAGCCAAGGAAATCAATTAGTCCTTAAATAGCCAAACAACGTGGCCTACCTTTTCCTTTGGCATAAACCATCATGCCGAAGGTCCATACCCATTGCCAACTCCAAAGATCAAACCAAACAAACCATGCGTGAATGCAATGACTCATCATAGTTGGCTTCACACATGTTGGTTTTGATGTTTTGGAGTCATTGTTGACTTGCAACTCTCCATTTCGTCCAGCTTGAACATCTTTGTTCAAAACTCTGCGAGCCTGATTTAGCTTCATCTAAGCCTCGCAAAAACCATAAGAGTTCTTGGCTCTAGACAAGGTATTCACGTTTTTTGGCACCTTTGTCTGGTCAAATCGACCATGTGGCATCACTTGTCCACAATTTTGTTTTTCGTCGATTGCACACTCTCCTGGCGTTAAGAGTGTGAGCACCGAGGTTTGCGAGCTCCACCAACACATGTGTGGGCATTGGTGTTGCCCTCATGTCCACCATTCATGACAGACTTGTTCCCAGCCAGCACTGGTGTGGCAACTCCATGTCGGGTTTGATCGGGCTTGCCCCTGTCCACTCAGTAGAGGAGTCTTTAGGGATCCTTTGCATGGAGGATTATACTGAGTTATGCCATCTTTCGCAACATTGGTTTTTTTCATGGTCACCATTGTACATGGGCAATGGGCCGTGCTTGGATCGACACGGGCATGCTTCAAGCCCATTTTATTTCGTGTCGTGCTTGGCACGACCCGTTAGTTTTCGTGTTGTGTCATGCAAGTCCATTTGTCAACATTGCTAGGCCTGGCCCAGGCTCGGGCATGGTTCGAATCGTGTCGTGCCTATTCATGCTCTTGTCGTGATCGTATACATCTTTAATGAAAAGGAAGAAAATAAAAAAGAGAATGAAAAAGAAGGAGAAAAATGGGCGGAGAAAGATAGTATTAACCGAGAATGTTTAAGAAAAGTAACAAATAAGGGCAAAAAGAAAATTGGAAGTATAGCGGATGTGATTTGGCTTCGTTTAATTCTTCGTCCGTTTTTACTTAAGGTAGTAATTACGTATGTATCTTTATGACACATCTAAAAACAACAAATAATTATATTTTTACTTGTATTTTGTAATATTTGAACCTATAGTTCCTTATATTTATTTTCTATTAAATAAATATTATTTTCATGCAATGTCTGTTCTTATACTCAATAAAATCTCGAAAATATTAGACCCGACACGACCCACTTATATATCGTGTCATGCCCGTGCTCATTAAATTTAGGCCCGACACGACCCATAAATTATCCGTGCTCGTGCCGGGCTGGCCCATATATTTCGTGCCTGTGCTCGTGTCGTGCTCTAATGGTGTCTGCCGTGATAGCCCATGGGTGGCCCGACCCGATGCCCATGTACAGTCACCACCTCCATATTGAGGAGAATTTGTGGCAACCCTCATCTGATTTTTTTCTATAACATGATGGATGTGGCAAACTTCTTTGCCATTGACGATGTTGTTTCTCCTTCAATCTTCCATGCGGTGGGATCTCATGCTCCCCTCCTTGCCCCTCAAGTGGTATGAATTCACCAGGATCCACACCTTGCATGTTCACAGAAGGCGGAATTTGCTGCGGATACGCACGTGGTGACATCGGGCCAACATTATTTGAACTTAGATCACATAATTCGTGGGCCTGGGCCCACGCTCCCGCTTCAGAGCGCAAAAGTGCGGATTGCAGGGAAAGCACACAAAATTTGCGGATTTAATTTTATCAGAGCACGAATTATGCAGAAAAAAATCGCGATCTGTTGAGGCAATATTTGACCTTCACCGCCGATACACGCAGAACCACCACCGTGTTTGTCTCCAGCAAAGTTCTCGTCGGTCGGTGACCCTCTTTCTTCTCCCTTCCCTCGATCCAGACAAAAACCAAAAAATTAGAAGGGCTAAGAACCCAGAATTTTACCCAAATCAAAATCTAACAAAAAATATCAACATGCATGCCTCAAAAAGCCTACATGATTTGTGATTCTCTCGTTATTGTCGCCGTTGACGAGAGGATAAGAAGCAGATTAGAAGCATCCTTCCATTATCTTCATTTTCGGTAGATGGGAATATAGTAGTCTAGCGCAGGCAGATGAAGAAGGCGAGTGAAAATGAGTTGTGTCCTTTCTCTCTTTATGTTTTGCTTGATTTCCAGAATGAACGAAGAGGAGGATGAAGGTTGAAGTTGAGAGAGAAGTGGAGGCCACAAAATGAAAGGAAGGACTAGGGTTAGGTTTTTAGCTTGTTAAATGAGGTATATCATCCTTTTATTGACCGTTTTGCCCCTAAAATGTTTATAAACTTCAACTCTTGCCACCGTTCTTTAATGAATCAAAATTAGAAATCCTAATGCAATAAATACAATCACATTGTGAATCGATCCACATACATCCAACTTAATCAAATCCAATCATAAGAATTTTTTAAAAAATACATACGGAAAAAATTATAATAATATAATATCCATGCTCTATTTACGCTCTCAATTTTGAATTCTTTTAAAATAGACGCTCTCACACTCTCGCTCTCGCTTCTGCTCTCGCTCTATGCTTTGTCTCACAAATCGGGCTGCTCCATTAGTACGATATTGTCCGCTTTGGGCCAAGCCCGCACGGATTTACTTTTGGGTGTCCTCCCCAAAAGGCCTCATACTAATTGGGTTTGGTGGACGCTAATATACAAGGGTTCCTTCCCTAGTATTACCGATTGTGGTACTTGGATTGTCCTCATAACACTCTGGTTACCTAATTTGGACCCAAACCCATCCCAACATTAACAGGAGGCATGTGTGGTCTAGATTCTGGAATGTTTTTTCGAGCAACACCTTGCACAGGTGGCGATTGCTCAACATGGATTTGAGATGAAGTGGCATGACTCTCGCCAACATTCACCCTTTGAGGTGTTGGTACGGTGCTTGCCACCAGAGGTGTAGGGTTCACCGGGCGTGGCTGCTCACCTTGACCACCACCGTTGGATGGTAGTTTAACTTTTTCACTTTCTAGATTTGAAAAGTCTCGACCATCTGAAGACAAAGTCCTAGTTTGTTACACTGCATGTTCAACAATTGCCTAAACTCGCCCAAATCATTCGTATTTTTGTTTACCAACTCAAATAATTGAGCAAATCGTCTATTAGTACATGAACTCAAACCATCAATACGCTCATCCAAAGAAGCAAGACGAAGGTTTACCAGTTAGTAGTTACTGTTCATCCCAACCACCAATTGTTCCACCATTTGGCGGATCGATGGTGATGCTTCACTTGGATCTACATTAGGCACCATAGGTGGTACCTCTGCTCCAACATTGTATTCTCATGCTTGGTTAACATCAACGTTGACCAACCACTCCTCTTCCATAGCATCTTGTGGAGGATCACCATCCTGAATATCTTCGTCGCGGAGCCATATTGAACACACGTTGTCCCACCAGGGGTGCCAATTTGTTTCAGGTGAAATTTTGCGTGATCAATGCACCCTAACTTCAAGAAAATAGAAAATGATGTTACTCGGTTCACACATCTTCAAACACTATCCGAACGGGTGTTCGATGCATACATCAAATTTGGTTACTGTTACCTCTATTCCTATGGAGATTCCTTGAGAGCTCCGCAACTATTGACTACAAATAACAGAGAAACCTCGTTGGAGGGTCCCTGGTGCTACTGCTATGACTATGATTATCGAGAGAGAAAGATAAAATTTGACGAGACTTGTTGTGGTTTGATTTGTCTGTCCCTCCTCTAGAGTCTTGCTGTGAGTTTTGTTTTGCCTCGCCTTTAACCGCCTTCTCTCTCTCTTCCCGAAAATTAGCTCCACGTAGCATCCAGTAACTCCTCCTTTGCAAGTCAACTGCTACTTCTGGTAACCACCTTCGACACGTCATCATGTCCATGGACAATAAACCCTACGTACCATGGATGAACAATTAGATGATCACCATACACCAAATAACTTGGATGATGTCCATGTTGTTGGATGACAACATCCACTTTGAGTTTGGATGATGTCCCTGATCTTGGATGATACCATCTATCATAGGATTTGGATGGTGTCCATGACGCTGGACACTACCATCCGTTATGGGATTTGGATGGTATCCATAATGTTGGACACTACCATCCACCAAACCTACGACCCGACCATATAAATGAATCATCCATGTACACATGGAACAACTACTTAAAGTGGCCAACCTGTACATATGCCAATTCATGAAAATTATTTTGTGTATATAAGTGGTAATAGGGGAAACTGTCGAGGTTCGCGAAGTGCAGTCGAGTGGGAGAAAAGGGAAGAGAGGGGAAGGGTGAACATGACTCGGGGAAGTGGAGATTGGGTTCTTGGGGTTGGGGATCATGGGGAAGGCTATGTCGACGAACTTGATAAAGAAGGGATTCAAGGTAACTGCTTGGAACATGACACTTTCTAGGTTAAAGGATTTGGGTCTTCGATTTTGTGCGCTTATATCTTCACTCGTTTGATGTTAATATGATTATGCTGATTTGAATTGGATAGTTTGGTTGGCAGTGTGATGAGTTGGTGGAAATGGGTGCTTCAGTTGGACAAACACCAGCGCTCTCGGTCAGTTCTCCCTTCCTTTATCTTTGTGTTCCTATTGTATTCATACTTGGAATGAAAATTTGATCATTTCTATAGTTTTATTCAGCTCAAACTGGGCTTACCAATAAGCCAATACACCAAGGCTTTATCTAGCTTCTATTGTTGGACGATGACTGTTCTTAGGGGTCGTTTGTTAAGCAAAGTTCTAGATTATTGTACATCATCTTATTATTCTAGAGATTTTGAGAAAAACTCCCTAATCAAAGGTTGTATTCTAGAAATTTTAGAGTATGTAAACAATAACAACTATGTATTGTAAGAAACCATGATCCCCAAATCACAGGGGTTATACTATCCCTGCATACCGAATGACTCTTCACTGAATTTTCTGATTGGTGTTGTGTAGGTGGTGTTTGATAAAGATGGTGTTCTAGAGGAGATAAGCAGTGGGAAAGGTTATGTAGACATGTCAATTGTTGATCCTGAGAATTCTTCCAAGATCGGTGAGGTGAGTGCACCGCAAGACCAGAAAAGTTCCTCCTTCGCCTCGCAGCGGCGGCATCTATCTTTTCTTTGAAGTAAGTTAAGTCATTTCCTAAGGCGGCTCCTCTTATTCTACGATAATCCAAGCAGCTGCTCCACAAGTCCGCTCGGAACTGTATTGAATGAATGAATTATCTTTTGTCGCCTATTTTGTTCAGTGATTTGGAAACAAGTTCAAATACTGATGGTTGCATGCAATTACATCAAAAGGTGGCTATTTCGTGGAGGCTCCTGTGTCAGGAAGCAAGCAACCTGCTGAAACTGCACAACTTGTGATTCTTGCTGGTGGGGACAAGGTAAATTTCAACATTTCATTGTCATTGATTTAGAATGAGAAATTTTGCTTTATGTTGGAGTTGGTATGAAGTGGTTTCACATTGGTGGTACTCTAGGCACTGTACGAGGAAACAATTCGGGCTTTCAATGCCATGAGGAAGAAGTCTTTCTACTTAGGGCAAGTTGGGAATGGAGCAAGGATGAAACTTGTTGTGAACATAATCATGGGAAGGTATGGTATGCACATTGTTCTATCTCCCACATTTTTGAATCCTAGAACATACATCAATTTAGGAATCGTTAGATTATATAAAAAAAGGAATCATTAGGTGTGAGACTGTTTTCTGCAATAGAATTGGAAATCTCAATTACGAGCTCAGTTACACTCTATAGTCTAGATGTTTTGCTTTTAGGAGTTGGAAACTATATAGAACTAGAATCAATACCCGCGGTTACGCCGCGGGGACTAAACTCACAATAATATAATTATATTGAATTTCATAGTTAATTAGTATGCGGCTTATGTTAATATAACTGTTTGCGAAGGTAATAAAACATCTAAAGGCAGTATGAAAGTTGAAATTGGAAGTCCCCAAAAGCACATATCTTAACCGTTTGTTGCATTCAGTTAAACTCACGTCAAAATACTTCCAAGTGTGTATAAATTTACAGCCTCAAGCTCTAAAAAGCAAGCTATTCAGTGTTCACATCAAGTTCTGCTAGCTAGAAAACTCGCTGAGTGAATCTCTTCTTAATTCTCTACGACATCTATCATCCTACATTTGGCAGTTTAATTGAGTAAACTATTTATCTCAACCTGATAGATTATACCTCTTGATAGTCAGTAATCACTGGATACAATGAAAGACCCCACAACAGCAGACAATAGTTCCTGCCGGTTTCAGTGCATTCAGCCTAGTCGTCATCCCTGCTGGCAAAGATAATTGACATAGTATGTACATTAGCGAGGAGGTGGTCACTCTTAAAGATATTATATGAACTTGGTATGTTTTCTTATTTATTTTTATGATGGAAATGTATTTAGCATCCTTTTTATCCAATCTCTTGTCCACTGTATTTTTCTCATGTATCAGTCTCATGGAGATGATAGTGAAAACCTCAAAGAGACATGTTCCTAGAGCGATCATAGGTGTGCTAAGAGAGAAAGAACATATGTTAAATAGAGACCATGTATCATAATGAGAGAAGATAATTCTATGAACATCATCCAAGAGAGTTCGTTATGTGAATTAATGAATTGAAACACTTATACCTTAAGCAAAACCTGACAAAGAGGGTAAGAATTTGAATGATAACTCAAACCGATACGAATGATAGATTGGGCAAATGACTAAATCTCATAGAACTGAGCAAGTTGCTGAAATGAAGCAAATTTGGAACAATATGAGATTTTGTAAGCAAACGCCATTTGTAAACAACTAAAGTAGCCAACTGCAAAGTTCAAACGGGAGCAACTTGAAGGAAATTTTCTTCAACAAACTTACAACTCAAAGGAAAACAAAACTTCCCGTAATAATCTAAATGTAATGATACCAAAAATTGAAAGGCAAATCATTACGATCACAAATAAGAATGCATTTATGTCCCATCAACCTTGTCTCCGGTTTCTATGATCATAGACAGAAACTACCACAAAACATTGAAGTGTAGATGTCCCAATCACCAAACAGGAGTTGTTGGCAGCACAATACTCATAGGTGTCTCTGAGTTATAACAAAGCAAGAAACATTGAAGTGAAGAAGATAATCCAAGCATTGGAGTAAAGCAGATCAACTTTACCTTCAATTTATGATCAGTGGTTCGTTTGATTTGACCAATGTGTTGAGCAAGTTTGGAAGCAAGTAACAACCATGTATAACTA